TCCAAGGTTTGGGATCGGCTCGTTCCTGGAACTGAGACCAAGGTTGGGTAGCATTGGTTCCAACGTTTGGGAACTGCTAGGTCAAGAACTCGGGATCCGTGATTCCAAGAGTGGGACATGCTGGTTCCAACGTTTGGGAACTGGCAGTTCCTCGAACTGGGAACTCGTAGTTCCAAGATTGGGACGCGTTGGTTCTCTTGTTTAGGAACCAGAAGTTCCACTATTGCCGCAGCCAATTCGCACGGCACAAAAAAGCGTTTCTGAAACCTTTTCTATCTGGGTTCTATGCTGGTGTAATTTGGGATCACCAATGAGCATTTCAAATGCTGTCACCTGCGCCATTTGCAGCTGCGGCTCAGCTCCAACTCATCGACTGGAGGAGCTGGACCTTCTACGATGCCATGACAACCTGATTTGACCAACGGAACAAGTTTCCACGCCCTGTTCGCCTTGTTGGCGTGTCTTAATCCTGCATCAGGACATGTTGCTCTCACTCCCCCGGTAGCAGAAAACATAGAAAAACAAATCAATTACATTATACATGCCACAAAATGCAACTGTAATTCATCTTATATAGTTCCTTTGCTCCAAAGCCATTCACAAGCGTTTTCAACTTATATAGCAACATACGATGTAGATCAATGTAGAACATAGACGCATCATGGAGCCCTCTTTCCTTGAGCACCAAGCCACGGCCATTGTGCAAACGTAGCCCCAGCACTGCACAGCCAGGCGATGCTTTGAAGGTCTCAACATTCTCCTTGCAGGCACAAAATGGCCGAGATGACATGAGATGACCCAGCATTGCTCCACATTCTCCACGTGCCATTCTTGTTTGCTGCAGGTGGAGTATGGGATGGAAAGTAGCCGAACACAAATCAAAGCCTTCTGCATTCTGAACAAATACAAAAAAGCTGTGACAAAGCACCCGTTGCATTTGCCGTCCTCCAAACCAGAAGACCACGTACCGCAAGCCTCCAGACACCTACCTATGCAAAGCACACTTTATGGGGTAAGAAAACCGCACAATATCAAACAATGAAGAGCGTTTCAGAGTCCGAGTTTGAGTTTGACTAATCCGCCCAAACAGTAACTTGTGGCGCAGTCCAAACATTAAATTATACCTTTATGGTATTATCCAGAATCCGAAGTCATTAGTGACTACCCCATGGTATATCCGGAGGCCATCCCATGCTTATCTGCGGTTTCCTGCCTTTGTTTGTTCGCAAGTGCACTGCTGCTCCAACCCACCACCACTGGAGCAATGGCTCGTGCGTCACTTCCTCAGCTCAGAAGGCTCTTCAGACACTGCGATGCTACCGAAGACAACAGGTGATTGAAAATTTCCAAGACCTCTGCGCAGGTGTTGCATGAGTTCCATGATTTGCAACTCCAAGCGTCTGTGATATACTCCTAAGTGAACTCAAGCAGAAAAAAACGCCTGTGATGGAACCCACATGCGCTTTTATAAACACAAATAAGTCAGTGAAAGTTAGATAGATTTCCTTCCAAGTGACATCCTCGCTGAGAACCTCAGGACACCACTGGTTGGGCACAAGGGTATGAATTCTGCCGCTTGTGAGTAAGTACATGGTAACGAAGGCTTTCCCTCTGTGGTGGAACGTAGTGGATCACCCTCAAGTGACTCATTGAAGACTTTGTCGGGCTATATGGCAGCAAAGCGGCCATCACTTTGACGCCATCATCTTTTCGATTCTTGACTTTTGAAGCCTTCTTTCCTTTGGCCACTGGCGGGCCCATAGCCCAAATAGAGCCATTGCTGTACGTCAACTCGATTCGCTGAATCGTAGCTTTGCCCTCTACCTTCCAAAGAGAGCAGCTCAAGGGAATGAGAAAACTTGCAAGCTGCCCATGCTAGCTTCTCTCTTGCAAATCAAAAAGCATGGACGCAATTCGTCAAACCTTGTAAATCACATATCGTTCTGCAAAAAAAAAGTGGATCTTACCGACCTGTCAAGTTATCAAGTTTTTTCCAGGGGCTGATTTTTCCCTGCGTCTGCAGCTGAGGGACTTTGACAATTGTTACACGCAGTGGCCCTTCCGGCGGTTCCTGAAAATCTGATTGGACAGCAAATGCTGCGCAATCGCATCACCCAGTTTCCGATGCGTTGGCAAAAGGCACTCTTGAGCTATGACAAAACATACAAAAACGCGTTCCAACTTCCAAATCATTCCAACCCGATCCAACAACTTAGAGAATGTTGAAGCCAAAGGCATCAAGATCAAGATCAAAACCAAGCCAGCCTCTGAACCAGCTGTGCGGGGAATGCAAGCAGTTGCGTCAGCTTGACCATCAAGGCCAGAGCTCCTGAACCCATATGTTGCAGGTGGAATCAACGTGGGCAAATATCTAAAAACGGCTAAGGCCATGGTACATGATGGAAACACAAGGATCGAGAAAAATAAAGGATGCTAAATGCTAAAGGATGCTAAATGCATTGCATGTCCGTGTGGCATGCACAGTGCCAAGCCTCTTCGCTTCTGCAGCTTTCTGGCTATCTTCCAATTGCACCTCTCCAGCTGAAGCCTGCAGCCAAATCTCGCGTTAAAGTTTACATCATGATGTGAATTTTACCAGTCAGGCCTTCCCACTTTCAGGTTCGCGTGCTGGCCTTGTTTCAAGACTGGTGAGGTCGGACATGACGCCCGGAAATGGAGACCTAAACCAATGTATACAATAGTCTATGTATGTTAGAATATACGCATAATATTACAACGTATCCGTATTCAAGCATAATTATCACATACCAGTAGTACCGCACAAGGCGGAGGCGAAAGTTTCAAAAATAGGAAACCTATAGGAGAGATTGGTTGTTGTGAATCACGGATGGCAGAGCGAATCCACTGATGGACCGAAAGGTGGTTGGAGCTGTGTTTTTTTGGAGTGGCTGCAATGGTTGCTGTGGTCACCTGGTCGGTCACCTCACCCACAACTGCTGGATGTAGTGTGGTGTAGTGCAGCTGTAGTTGTAGTTATGGCGTAGTGTAATTAGTGTAGCGCGGTTGCAGTTGCAGTTGTGGTGGTGTAATTAATAATGAGTGTAATGTAATGTAATGTAATGTAATGTGGGGTAATGTGGGGTAGGGTAGTGTAGTGTAGTGTAATTGAGTGTAGTGTGGTGGGGTGTGGTGTAGTGTAATGCTCTTCTCTCTTCTACTCTTCTCTTCTCTCTGACTCTTCCCATCTCTGCTTTTCATCTGTCCATATTGTCGGAAGTTTGACTTCTAAACTTCCTTCGAATATATCATATTATGTATTAGCAGATATTAATTAGTACACAAAGTTTTTGCATATTTGGCATTCAAGGAGCAATTCCAGTAGTGGCTGCCGTCGAACTTCATCAAGCTCCAAGGCCATGCCAGTGGCATTGGCGCCCTTTGGCGCTGCAATGGCTTGTGCTGTGTGTATAATTGTGTATATACATGATTCTACATGTGGAAATTATCATCTATGCATCATTATTGTGGATAGGTGGATTGGTCCATGTACACACACATATTTTTTTATATACATTGTTTGGATTGTATTGTATATGTTCTATGATGTTCTACTATATTCTGACATGTTCAGTCCTTCACTAACATTAACCTTGCCTCTGTCCTGATCACTCTGATCTCCCGATTTGTCAGTTTTGAGTCCGAACAAAGCTTCAGAGCAGTTTGAACCTAAAAAACTAAACATGATGGAAATTAATGGACCGTATGGACAAGAACCCTCTCCCCTGCGATGAAAGCCATGGGATCTCGACTGTCACGAGCTTCTATTTGGTGGCGCTGAGGGAAACCAACGTCGGGTCACTGAATTGAAGGTCTGTATGATGGAGGTGGGTAGCTTTCCAACTGCACAAAACCTGCACAAACGTCTCTCCAGGGCTATTTGCACATGTCGAGTCGCCACCTTACAGAAGGTCTTTTTCAAACTTAATCTTGCATCAATCTGCTTGCTCTGAATCAGCGGAAGGGGAGTGCAATCTGGCACAAGCAAATGTATGAGACGTGGGTAGACGTGGTCGAGCTAGTACTCTAACATTCGCCAACATTGAAGTATGTTTTGTATGGGCTTGTTCATACCAACCACCGTCCAGCATTCATTGCGGGAATAGCAACAGAAAAAATGCTTCGATTTGGTGCAAAGCATGGCATGCTGGGCCGGTGTGCGCCCACCAGCCTTTCGTGTGGCAGCCATGCAATCACACCCGTGTGGAAATGTGTTGTCTACGGACTCGCGCGACTCGCCCCAGTGCGAATTTCTTTTGAATCAGTGGTGCGACCAATGCAATTCTTTTATAGACGGGCAGGAATTGCAACATCCAGCAAATCGTTTTGCTTCCCTACGCTTCCTTTTGTGAGGCCAACATCCACAGCTGTGGATATACATGTGACTGAAGCCATTGTTGTGATTTTCAAAAACTGTTTATTGAAGGTTAGTGCGCATGTCGCTAGGTATGCTTACATTTTGTAACAGAAAATGCAAAAGAAACCTATTGCCCGTCCCGGCGACAGTTATCTGCGTGTACGAAGGATATCAAAGATATCGAAGGATCACAATGATCTTCAACGAACAGATCGGAACAAATGAAGCAGAGCTGCATAACAAGACTCGCCATAGAATGTTTTGGCTGGAGATGGCTGGAGATTCGCATCCTGAATATGAACGTGTTTGATCATGTTTGAACATCTTAAGCACAAAATTGATAAATCCGAAACAAAAATATGCTTGCTGCGGCTGGTCGGTTCAGCGAGAAATCAGCTGCTTGTATGCAAATTAGGGGCCTACCAACTACGAAGCAGTCCAGGGTGGACTGACTCGTTCAAGCGGACAGTGACAATGGAAAATAAACTCGATCCGACAGCGACAATTCATTGCAGGCAACTCAACACCAGCTGAATGCTGGACTCAGTCTGGACTCAGTTGGCCACTCAATTGTGATATCATTTGATCATATTTGATCTCCGATTGATCTCCCCCTCACTTGATCTCACTTGCAGCTGTCGCGCTGGTCCAAGCAAAGCCGTAAGAAAAGCACAAAGCTTGACAAGCCAGTGACGCCGCTGCATACCTGCATCGTTGCTTGCAAAACGCATGCTAGCCTTTTCACATGCTTTTACAAGATGCACGCGCAAGAGCAGAATCATGCTGTTCATTACAGGACTTGCAGCTTGTGATGTGACAGCCCAAGCCTGCAGCAAACGAAGGAACCATCCGTTCTGTCCAGCTCTTTCAAACTCGACCGCTCGCACCTTAAGCACATGCAGCTATGAAGAGATATCAAGAGTACATTCTGTGTGCCATATGTGTTGGGTGTTCTGGCCTTGCTGGTCATGGACCCTCTTGGAAAGTTGACCACTGCAACAAATCAAGAAACCTACTGCAATTGTCCCCCTAGGCTGGCCCAGCTCCCGCATGATCACTGAAGAAACACGAACAAAAGCAAGCCACAAACCCAAAGAATCCCAATGGAGAATAGGAGCCTCATTGCACTTTGCAGAGAAGTGAGCCACGGAAAGTGCACCCCCAAGCCTCAAAACGAGCGTCGTTTCGTCAGGGCAACTTCATTTTTAAAGCTGTGGATTCGTTGGCCCCAATTTTTTTTTGTTTCTCCAATTTCCCCGATATTCCAAAAAAGAGTTGGGCACTGCATACAGCTTGCGCCCTGCTGAATTTTGATCTTGGCCCCGTGCGCAAAGGTCACACACATAGGAGCAACCGACAGGACAAGCATCTTAGCCGGAATTACGATTGACTTCTCAATTGTTGTCTCCCGCCCTAAGCCTAGCTCTCTCTCTCTCTCTCTCTCCCTCTCCCCCCTCCCTCTCTCAGGAAGTCATGCTGAAATCAAGCAGTGGCTATGTGCCGGTGCAAACTTGACTTGGTGCCCGTGCAGTCTGATGCAATGGCGTTTGCCTGTAGCATCCTGTAGCCCTCTCGGTGTTTATTTCTGTCGTTTTGTTCCGCCGGGATTGAGATCCATACTCCGCGGAGGGCAGCAAGGGCCACCCTTCCAGGCCATGCCCAGTGGCACGGCGGTGCATTTGGCAAGAGCGCATACTTCAGAAACGCCGCCTTGGTGTGATATGTCCCACATTGTCCCACAATAGTGTTCTCAAGTTTGACAATGACATGATTTTCGCCCAATTCTTTTAGTGTAGCGCCCCTTGCCTCAGTGCCTTCGAACGCATCCGACAGTGTCTTCTCACAGTGGCTTCTCAGATCCGAACTAGCAATGGCTGCTTTGGGGACCATGCGCTTCTGCCGACTAGCATAGCAAGTTTCAGTCGTAGGGAGTTTCGGGCATCCAGCAGTAAGCACCTCGCAGCACAGGATTGCTAGTTCACTTTATGTTTGAAAGGCAAGAACTCCGACATGCGAAGGTCTTCGATCCCTTTGATGTTAGCAGCAACTGCAAAGGCTCAAAGCAGCAAATGTTTTGACTGTTGTCTTTCAAGCTTCTCTTGCAAACCAAGGTGCAGGATTGCCCCAAAAGATGTTGTGAACCTTCATTCAGTGCGCAGGCTTGGCACGCAAACACACATGTCCCCTTTGCGCGCACCTTGAAAAGCAAAGCTCATCGATATTTTGTTGGCTACACAAACCTAGCAAACCTAGCCATCAACAGCAAGCGGTTCCAATCATGAGTGCGTCTTCGCGACACCAGCAACTGCTCCCACGCCAACAAGCTGCACCTGTAGGGGATTCCCAGCAAAAGAAAATGTGTTTATGATAATCCTTAGCGTCTTAGCATTATCATTGCAACATGTATACGCATGCCTTTTTCCCAAAACTACTCGAGCACAAATCTGCACACCGTGATTTTTTCTTCAGATGTCTTCAGGCACATGCAACGTCACGATTGCACTATATTGCACTGTAGGCATCCGACCAGGCAGCACCAACAGCGCAACGGTCGATCCTGAGCATTTCAGCTTTTGCAATGGGTGTGGCATCCCAAAACGGAAAGGGATGGATACACATAGGCCACAGAAAAGCACATGATATCACATGATGATCCATAATGAATGTCGTTGATATTATTGGCAATACTGTGCAATATTTTTGGTTATCACAATGAAAGCTACTCAGTGACCACGTCTTTTCCTAATGGTTCAAAACAGCTTGTCTGACGAAATAACGTGATATGCCGCCAGGTAACATTCTTTGCAATCGCGGTATGTTCAAGGCCTGGCACTCAGGCGCAGCAAGCATAAGTAAGACACTTAGAAACATCCCTGAAATCATACGTCTTTGGCAAAGCGCGCGCACACACACACCCAAGTAACGGGGAGCAGCAATCCTTGCAAATGCAAGGCAGCTCAGAAGAAAAGGACCAGTATGAAAGGTACCACTTAGAGATTGTGGAATTGCAATAGCAATGACATTGTCAGCATGTTGAACAAAAAAGCCTCCGTCTCTTGTGGCATGCTAGCTGCTCGAACGTGCGTCAGCTTGTTCCTGGCAGCCTCGGAAAGCCTGCAGAGGGTATGGAAGTTGAACATGTATGAAACTGATTGAAAATGTGCGTAATTACTGTCTTCTGCACCTCCAAAGAACGCAATGTTGTTGGTCAATGTTGGTCACATATCACATACTCATATACATGTTCAAGCCATCTCAACAGTATTCTTCAAAGCACACTATTCGGTAGAAAGCAAAATGTCTTTTGAGTACAAACGGGGAAGGGGAACAGGACTGTGGACACTTGTTGCGGGTATCATTGAACGCTTTGAGCATCTTCCTGCCCTGAGACTGAGACATTGACAATTCATGAGATTTCATGAGAATGCAGAGATGTATATGGATGATTTCTACTCTTCCAACATTTGCCTATTGTAATGGGTGCTCATGCAATCCTTTTGGCTCAAGTGGCCATAATTTTTGTTCCGTTGTGGCCGTTACCGTTCTGAGCGACAGCTTTTGAACGTGCTGCCGCTTCTCTGTCAGGTGTTCCTTCTTGCGCACTTCGCTTTGCAACCCCATGGTCCAAATCCATGCTGTCCACCTGAAACTTGAGATACCCCTTTTCGAAATCTGTGCTAAGATCTTGCCCATTTGCTTTCAATTCCTTTGCCTCGGCGATCGTTTTAATTTTAAATAATTTTAGCATGTTTTAGCTACCTTGTATTTCTCAAATCTTTCCCACGATTTTGGAACCAGGAGTTTTGGGATTGTCCTGTTAGAAAATGATGTTCGCTTTTTCTTTTTTCATTTTCGATTTTTGTTCCTGTGAAAGTGGCATCGGGAACCCTTTGCTCAACACTCCTCAACCAAGTTTGTCGTCTAGTGCACCTTCCTCGGGCCTTGTCGTGATGGAAGCGCCCGCACTGGAAACCAGCAAAGTTGAGATGACTCCCGCTACCCTTAAAGCATTGCGCATGATGATGTTCGTGAAAAATTCTCAATCGGCATGCAAGATCTAGAAGCCAGATTTTAAAGGAAAATTGGTGAGTAAGTTGAAGAAAATTTTGATTGAACGCAGTGGTTTTGCTGCAAAAGAATTTTTTGCCAGCTACAAGAATTTCAAGGTGGTTGTTCATCATGATGGCAAAAAGGCGCCGGTCGCATTCATCCCCGAGAGCGCCGCTATGAATTGGATCGACAGCACGGTAGCCAACAAAAACGTCCGAGATGCTTTGGAAGAATTCGTGGCAGAACTGGAGTAGGGAAAGTGTGCGCAACAAACTGGTCACAAACGGTCATGTTAACCCAAAACCCGAGCCAACGAATGATGTGCATTCTGCTTAAGTCTCAAGTGTTCTGAATTCATTGATTTGCATGTTTTTACAAAAACGTCCAAAGCATTTGTAGCCATGAACGATGCGACGGCTTGCTTGCTGAAATTGACCGTCTTCATTTTCACCTCGCTTTCAATACCGAAACTTGGCGGCTTGAGACTGAAGAAATTATTGAACCTCCATCCGGCCATTATTTGTTCTTGGCAGGCGGTAGCGGACATTGTGGTACAGGTGTTGTGGTTTCAAGGGAGCTGCATAGCATAATTCGCAATGTTAGCTTCCATGCATTCAGTGCACGGCTGTGTTGCTTGAAATTTGATTTTGCAGTGAGAAGTGTTGCAGTTTTTACTTGTTATTTCCCTACGTCCTGGGCTTCTGATGATGAAGTTTTTGAATTATACGAACTCTTGCATTTTGTTTTGGCAAATGTTGTGCGTGAAGGGAGGTCACCTATATTAGGAGGTGATTTTAATGCATGTGTGGATTTTTATTGATGCAATTTGTGTTTGAAAAAAGGCTTGTGGATTGCAAGCCGGCATATGGACTAGCGGTTGGCACATGACAGTTGGACATGTTGCAGGTGCTTTGATGATGCTCAAATATAAATTGTCTTCATACTTGCTGACAAAAAGGTGCCATCTTTGAAAGGATGGAAATCTTTTGTTGGTGACCGCATGGAACCGTTGCAGTTTCGCAGTGTTGCACGCAGGTTCAATAAGAAGGAGGCGGGCAACTTTTCGTCCTAGTTTCGAGTTGTCAAGCATGAGACAAATCCGCCGGAACACTGGGGCCCTCGAACAGCGCAAACAACTTAGCCTTCGTATCCGCAAGTTGCAACAACGAGAAATTAGGAATTGGAAATCCCAGCAGTTGTTTTTGAAATTGTCCGACACGTCTCAATGGAAATCCTTGAAAACCATGGTTGCGACATTGCATGGGCATAGCTTGACGCAACAACCATCGCCGAATGATTTTGCAGACATGCTGGAGAATTTGTTCTGTGGTGCTGTCGCGCCACCCAAGCCTCAGATATTGATGAGCGAACCGCCCGCCCTTTACAATGCAAGAGTTGAAACACGCGCTGGGACGGTTGAAAACCAACAAATCCTTACAAATCCGGTGATGAGGCAGGTTTGGTTGCTTAACTAGTACAGGTTGCCCCTGTCGAGTTATTAGAAGTCGCCTTGTTGTTTTACAATCATGCGTTGACTTCGGGTGACGTGCCAGCGGAATGGCGTAAAACGTTGTTTACCATGATTGCAAAGACGATGCGCGTGAAAACGGTGACAGACTTTCGTCCTATTGCTTCCACGAGTATTTTCTACATTTTTGTTTGCCTACATGTTACTAGCTCGCGTGGACCCGATTCTCGACAACCAGCAGCCGGAAGAACAACACGGATTTCGAACGCACTACAGGCTGGAGGAACACATAATCACCGCAAACATCCGCAAACGTTGTCATCGACAAGTTGTTAGGGATGAACAAACCTATTTGGATTGTGAGCTTGGACTTATCAAAAGCCTTTGACCGTATCAACTGGGATGCGTTGTGGCTATCCCTCCGTGACCATGGCATCTCACAGCATTTGGTTTGGGCAGTGCAATGCCTATATTCGAGCCAGGACCCAGGAGGGACAGGTTGTAGGCAATTCGGATTGCAGCCGTGGTTTTGCTATCAATGCTGGGGTTCGTTAAGGGCGCGTGCCGAGTCCGAAACTTTTCACGTCTGTTCTTCGCTGTGCGATGGCGAATTGGCGACGACGGGCTACAGCTTTTGATTTTGGTATCGATTTGCATGATGGTGGCCTAAACTTTTAGATTTAAAATTTGCAGATGATATCCTTCTTGTTGCGTCCAGCACTCATGAAGCAACCGTTTTGTTGCTTGACTTACTCATGCAAGATTTGGCAGCAACAGGTTTGCTTTTAAATGCGCACAAAACGGTTACTCTCACAAAGGAAGCGCAGCCCCCTTCACAGCTTGTTCTTTCCAATGGACAAGTCATTCAAATGGAGTGTGGTGAACATGGCCATAGGTTGTTGGGCTGTATCCTAGGTCCTAGGCATGGGTCGTTTACATAGAACATCCTTGGATGTTGAATTCCATTTGCAGGCAGCTAGCCGGGCATTTTTTCGCGAATAAACACATTTTGTGTGATCAGACGGTACGTGTGACAGATCGCTTGCGTTTTTTCGATGCTGTGGTGACACCAGTTGCGCTTTTTTGAAGCTGGGCACCGGACAATCCATAAACGTGATTTGCAAGCCATGGATTGTGCATTTCGGAAGCCGCTTCGGAAGATGATTCGTCCTTCTGCCTCTTTTGATTGGACCCGTCCTTGGCATGAAATTTTACATTTTTGGAACGAAAAAGTTGAAACAATAAGAAGACAGCATGATTTGGAGTTTGGTCTCGCAAGTGTTTGAAACAATATTGGAACCTTGGCTTATACATTGCAAGTCTGCCGGCCAATCGGTGGGTCCGTCGTGTTCTGTGTTGGTGCCCACTTGGCCGCCGTGGTCCCGGAACTCCGACATCTTTTTCCCGGAACAAACAGTTAGGCACCTGGGAAGATGTAGCCACATCTGGTTGCGATTTGCAAATGATTGCGTTATGTTCTGCAATATTCCTGGATGAGTGAGGCAATGGTGCCCAAGTTTCTTGTATATACTTTTGTTTGCCTGCGCCCAAAGGGGCTTCCTCCGGGGGGCATGCAGGGACTCGACTCGACTCGGCTTATTTTCCAACAGATGCACGATCTCATGACTTCGCTCCTGAAAAATCTTGAAGGTGGGTGAGACTCGGTGAGGCACGGTGAGGCACGGTGAGATGAAACCTGAGGCTCGAACTCCAAATCCCCCTCATCTTCTGCTTTGGTCGCCAAACATTCAAGCTGCTCCAAAATTTCGTCCTCCACTGGTGATCCCATACCAAATGATTCCAAATGCAACATTGTCAAAAATTTGCAATGCGCTCCACTACCCTGCTTGGTGACACGCCATCAGCGTCCTGGAGCACTCTGTTTGGATACAGCTCACTGGGCGAGAGCCTAGGATAATCAACAGCATCAACAGGGGAACCAACATAAATTCGAAGTTATTCCGATGTCAAGAAACTCATACCAAAGGAGCTCCTGTATGCTCCTGCTGACATCTTGTCATCCATCAGAAAGATTGCAGCTTGACTGACGTCTCGATGGTCTTGTGAGTTCCACCCCTTTCTTCTTTTTCATCTGCCTAAAACCTCTTTGGGATTCGGACGGTGCCAAGGTCAAAGGGTCAACAGGGCGTCGTGCAAGCCACTCAGTCTCAGTGATGGGCCGTGCTTGTCGATGCAAACTGAAACCTTGTCTTGACACTTTGTGTTTTTCTACATGTTTCTATATTGTTTACGTTTTCCTGCGGGCATGCACAGGCATTTGTTTTGTCAGCATTATGTTGTATTCTATACAGTATCTTGTCATGTTTTCATGGTTTTGTCGTGGCTGATCATGCAATTTCAGCTCAGTCCCTGGGTGCGGAACGATGGAAGTGAAATCATAGCTATGTCCGCTGGGTGTGACCATCGGGAGCTCCATGATCTCAGCAGTACTCCAAGTAAAAATAGTAAAACGGGCACCCTCTCCAGCACAAAACACGTGGGCAGAGTGTCCATACATGGATACGTTGTGCATGACCACATAGCCGTGGACATGCAAGGGCGCACTTATCTGCATGCATGGCTGGGTGTGAGTTTCAGCGAGTTGATAGGTGAATGCAACTTGAAAAGGGGGAACACGAAAGGTAGCTGATGAAGAAGGCGAAGCAGAACCTCTCTGTGTAAAAACTGGTTGCGTGTAAAAGTGTGCTGTGTGCACAAGTTTCTGTGTGCAATTCGATTGCTGTGCAAAGGCATCTGTGTAAAATGTAAAAAATGTAAAAAAGTGTTGTGCGTAAAACCTTCTGTGCGTAAGACGTCTGTGCGGAAAACTTTCTGGGAAAAACCATTCTCTGTAAAAATTGCTGTGCATTGATTGCATCAAAAAAAATCTGTCCGTAAAGGCTTCTGTGCGAAAGAGTTTCTGCTGTGTAAAAACTGTTCAGGGTAAAGTGTCTGCGTGCAAAAAAAATGGTGTGTATTTTTTTTGGTGCAGTCTGTGTGTACAATTTTCTCTATGTATGTTTTTTCTGTCCCCAAAAAATCTGTGTGTAACAATTGTTCTGTGCAAGCGTCTCTGTGGCAAAGGTTCTGTGTGTAAAAACGCTTACGTGCCCTTTATTTATGTGCGCAAAAGAATCTTGGTACAAAGCATCGGTTTGTAAAAACTTCCTTCTTTGTGTAAAAACATCTGTGTGTAAAGGTGTCCGTGTACAAAAGTCTCTCTGTGCACAAACCTCCCTGTGTAAGAATACCTGCGCGTAAAAACTGCTCTGTGTAAAGGCTTCTGTGCGTAACGTCATTTGGTTGTAGACATGTATCGGTGCAAAATGTGTCACCAACAAGAAGCCAAGTTCATCACAAGGCGTCATTTTGACTGTCGTAAATCAATTTTTGAAAGCCTTCGGAGCAAATTATATACTTTCTTCGAGTAATGACCACCAAACGACACTTTTGTGACATATTTTCTGACATCCTATCTGGCATTCGCATTTTATCTCACATAGTCTTATAATCATATATTTTTTGAAATTCTTTCTAGCATTCTACCGGGTATATCTTCGGAGATCCTTCGTAGTTGAGGTCCGGCGGGCAACACTCTGATCCGGTGCGCGCGAATGAGGTCCGGCAGGGAACACTGCGATCTAGAGAATCTAGAGCTTGCAATTGTTGTTGTTTGTTGTTGTTTGTTGTTGTTTGTTGTTGTTAGTTGTTGTTAGTTGTTGTTAGTTGTTGTTTGTTGTTGCCGTTGTTGCTGTTCTGTTGCTGTTGCTGTTGCTGTGGGTGTCGGTGTCGGTGTCGTTGTCGTTGTCGTGGTCGTGGTGGTTGTGGTTGTGGTTGTGGTTGTGGTTGTGGTTGTGGTGGTGGTGGTGGTGGTGGTTGTTGTTGTTGTTGCTGCCCCTGCAACCTTTTCCCCAACAGTGTAAGCTAATGGGATCTTCAGTCTTCAGCCCGGAATAACTCTGGTGTGCACTGGTGCAGGCGCCGGGTCAGGTTCAACGAGGTTCTGGAGAAGGCTCCGAAGGTTCCGGCATTGGTGTTGAGCCCGGTCGGGTTCCGGAGAAGGTCTGGGAGGCTTTGGTGCAGAGACAGGTCAAGTTCAACAGGATTCCGGAACAGGTTCCAGAGAAGGTTCCAGGAAGCCTTGGTGCAAACCCAAGTCAGGTTCAACGGATTCCGGAGAAGGTTCCGGAAAGGGTTCCAGGAAGGCTTGGTGCAAAGCCAAGTCAGGTTCAACAGGATTCCGGTGAAGGTTCTGGAGAAGGTCGGGGAGGCTTTGGTGCAGAGCCAAGTCAGGTTCAACAGGATTCCGGAACAGGTTCCAGAGAAGGTTCCAGGAAGCCTTGGTGCAAACCCAAGTCAGGTTCAACGGATTCCGGAGAAGGTTCCGGAAAGGGTTCCAGGAAGGCTTGGTGCAAAGCCAAGTCAGGTTCAACAGGATTCCGGTGAAGGTTCTGGAGAAGGTCGGGGAGGCTTTGGTGCAGAGCCAAGTCAGGTTCAACATGGTTCAGCAAGGTTCCAGAGAAGGTTCCGGAAAAGAGGTCTGGGAGGCTTTGGTGCAGAGCCAGGTCAAGTTCAACAGGGTTCCGGAGAAGGTTTTGGAGAATGTTCCGGGAAGCTTTGGTGCAAAGCCAGGTCAGCTTCAACAGAGGTCCGAAGAAAAATCCGGAGAAGGCCTGGGAGGCTTTGGTGCAGAGCCAGGTCAGGTTCAACAGGGTTCCAGAAAAGGTTCCGCAGAAGGTCTGGGAAGTTTTGGTGCAAAGTCAGGTCAAGTTCAACATGGTTCCGGAACAGATTCCGGAGAAGGTTCCGGGAGGCTTTTGGTACAGAGCCAGGTCAGGTCCAACAGGGTTCTGGAACAGGTTCCAGAGAAGGTTCCAGGAAGCCTTGGTGCAAACCCAAGTCAGGTTCAACAAGATTCCGGAGAAGGTTCTGGAAAGGGTTCCAGAAAGGCTTGGTGCAAAGCCAAGTCAAGTTCAACAGGGTTCCGGAGAAGGTTCCGGAGAAGGTCGGGGAGGCTTTGGTGCAGAGCCAGGTCAGGTTCAACATGGTTCAACATGGTTCCAGAGAAGGTTCCGGAAAAGAATCCGGAGAAGGTCTGGGAGGCTTTGGTGCAGAGCCAGGTCAGGTTCAACAGGGTTCCGGAGAAGCTTCCGGAGAATGTTCTGGGAGGCTTTGGTGCAGAGCCAGGTCAGAAACAGGGCCCGGAAAAATTCGGAGAAGGTCTGGGAGGCTTTGGTACAGAGCTAGGTGAAGTTCAACAGGGTTCCGGAAAAGGCTCTGGAGAAGGTCTGGGAGGCTTTGGTGCCAACAGGGTTCCGGAACAAGTTCTGGAGAAGGTTCCGGGAGGCTTTGGTGCAGAGCCAGGTCAGGATCAACAAGGTCTCGAAGAAGGTTCCGGGGAAGCTCTGGGAGGCTTTGGTGCAAAGCCAGGCTAGATTCAACAATTTTCCGGAGAAGATTTCGGAAAAGGTTCTGGGAGGCAGGGTTGCAGAGAAGGTTCCGGAGAAGGTTTGGGAAGCTTTGGTGCAGCCTTTGGTGCAGCCAGGTCAGGTTCAACAGGGTTCCGGAGAAGGTTCCAGCGCTTGGCAACACGCTTCAGAAAGATATATATGTTAAAATAAAATGTTGCGGCTGCTGGCTGCTGGGGATACCCCCGAAGCTTATTTCTCAATGCCGTAGTGGCCGAAAATCCTCAAATCGATTGTGTTTTTGCGTGTTTTTGCAACTCTCAGAGCAAAAAACACAATAAATACCGATGTTTTTGGCGGGTCGGAAGCGTCGGAAGCCCAAAACCACGGTATTTACGATTTTTTGGCATCTGGTAGCAAGAATCGCAGTATTGACAGTATTTTTTTGGCCGCACCTAGCAAAAACACTGGTATTTACGCAGGTTTCACCATGTTGCAAGATGTAATGTCTATATCCAAAAGGGACAAAAAACTGGATATCAATTACAATGTTTTGGCTCTGCTCGTAGGGTGCGTGGGGGGCGCGGAGGGGGGGGTACTGAAATGACGAGCAATCTGCTTAATCCTTAATAATCAGGTAACAGGGCTGGCCGCCCTTCCCCTCTACTTCGTAAAGCAACCCACTGGGGTATACTGGGGTTACCTTTCGTGATTAAGTGGGCGCATGGGTGCAACCATGTGAGCGAGCGCTTTGAGAATTGAAGAGATGGTATCAAACTGTTGGACATTGCCTCAAGAGTTGCAACCTGCAAACTCGCAGTGATCACCAAACCTCGAAACGGTTCTTGAGGGCTGGCAGAAGCACAAGAATGCCGTACGTTTTGCTCCCAAGATGCGAGATGAGAAATAGGACACGCCAGGTGCGGAGACCTCAGAACAAGTGGAGCTTCCAGGATCTCAAGTCCTCAGGTATCCCCGGTCTCACAAGCTCCTTTGGCTTGGATTTGTGGTGCTCAGTACATCGCACAACTTGCCAAACAAAGCTGGAGCTGCGCTGAGCACATTGCCCTGTCACAGCAAAATGAAAAGCACATCCTTCTCTGTTCACGCTGGCGTCTTTTCGAATCCCAAATGGGAATAAAAGCGATCCTAGTCTAACAATGTGTACACAGCCATGAGGCAATGCGGCAACAGCTTGGGCCTCATCTCCAAAAACTTGCTGGTTGAATCTCGCCCAACACATTTATCGGACTTATCGCTTCACTCTTGGCTGACGTTGTTTTTTGGAGCGTCAAACTCTAGGCCATTGTAGTGGCCGCGGACTTCGCCTGCCATGTTCCAGATAATGTACCTCAGGAATCCATAGGAATCATCCCCTCCCCGTTACGGGGGGTGCGGGGGGTTAAAACTGACATTTTCATACATTTTCCCCGCATCTTTGTGTGGGGTTCTTGTTTTTAGTTGGGCACTCCCGCGCTTGCTCCTCCCGCCGCCTCCTCCCACACAACTTACTCACGTACTCACACACAACTTGTCCACACACACACAACTTACTCACACACACACAACTTGTCCACACACAACTTGCTCACACACAACTTGTCCACACACAACTTACTCACAGACACAGTACCCTCACAATTCTCTCACACACAGCTTACTCACACACAACTTGTCCACACACAACTTACTCACACACACACAGTACCCTCACAATTCTCTCACACAACTTACTCACACTCAACTTACTCTCACACAACTTACTCACACACAACTTGCTCACACACAACTTTTGTCCACACACAACTTGCTCTTCGCATGGCAGGCGTGGCGCTTATGGCACTGGGCTGGCTCTGGTGGCGCGCTTGGGTCCCAGTTGACGCCGTGGACGCCGCGGCTGTTTGCGTGGCACGTGTGGCACTTGGCGACATAGACGTGCATTCTGCGTGCCTGGCCTGGCACTTGGCGACATGGACGTGCCTTTTGCGTGGCAGGCATGGCCCTTGGTGACATCGACGTGCACTTTGCGTGGCAGGTGTGGCACTTTTGGCCCTGGACTGGCTCTGGTAGCGCCCTTGGGTCTTAGTTGACGCTGTGGACGCCGCGACTGTTTGCGTGGCAGGCGTGGCACTTGGCAACATTGACCTTCGCTTTGCGTGGCAGGCCTGGCACTTGGCGACATTGACCGTCACTTTGCGTGGCAGGACTGGCGCTTAGTGACATCGATGTACACTTTGCGTGGCAGGCGTGGCACTTATGGCACTGGACTGGCTCTGGTGGCGCGCTTGGGTCCCAGTTGATGCCGTGGACGCCGCCGCTGTTTTCGTGGCAGGCGTGGCGCTTGGCGACATTGACCTTCACTTTGCGTGGCAGGCGTGGCACGTGGCGACATTGACGTCACTTTGCGTGGTGTCGCACTTGGTGACATCAGCCTTTGCGTGGCAGGTGTGGCACTTGGTGACATCGACGTGCACTTTGCGTGGCAGGCGTGGCACTTATGGCACTGGAATGGCTCTGGTGGCGCGCTTGGGTCCCAGTTGACGCCGTGGACGCCGTGGCTGTTTGCGTGGCACGCGTGGCACTTGGCGACATCGACCTTCACTGGCAGGCGTCGCACGTGGCCACATTGACCGTCACTTTGCATGGCAGGCCTGGCAGTTGGTGGCATCGATCTTCAGTTTGCGATGTGGCACTTGGTGACATCGACGCGTGGCACCGTGGACGCCGCGGCAGTTTGCGTGGCAGGTGTGGCGCTTGGTGACATCGACGTGCACTTTGCGTGGCAGGCGTGGCACCGTGGACACCCGCGGCTGTTTACGTGGCACGCGTGGTACTTCGAACATTGACCTTTGCTTTGCGTGGCAGGTGTGGCACTTGGCGACATCGACGTGCATTCTGCGTGGCAGGCGTGGCACTTGGTGACATCGACGTGCACTTTGCCTGGCAGGCGTGGCGCTTATGGCACTGGCTCTGGTGGCACGGTGGGTCCCAGTTGATGCCGTAGAAGCCGCGGCTGTTTGCGTGGCAGGCGTGGAGCTTGGCGACTGGCACTTGGTGACATCGACCTTCACTTTGCGTGGCAGATGTGGCGCTTCGTGCACTTTGCGTGGCAGGCGGCGTGGCAGTTGTAGGACTGGACTGGCTCTGGTGGCGCGCTTGGGTCCCAGTTGACGCCGTGGACGTCGAAGCTGTTTGCGTGGCAGGTGTGGCACTTGGCAACATTGACCTTTGCTTTGCGTGGCAGGCGTGGCGCTTGGCGACATGGACCGTCACTTTGCCTGGCAGGCCTGGCACTTGGTGACATCGATGCGCACTTTGCTTGGCAGGCGTGGCACTTATGGCACTGGACTGGCTCTGGTGGCGCGCTTGGGTCCTGTGGACGCGTGGCAGGCGTGGACGTTCGCTTTGCATGGCAGGCGTGGCGCGTGGCGACATGGACCGTCACTTTGCGTGGCAGGCCTGGCGCTTGGTGACATCGACGTTCACTTTGCGTGGCAGGTGTTGCACTTGGTGCCCCCGACGTGCACTTTGCGTGGCAAGCGTGGCACTGATGGCCCCAGGACTGGCTCTGTTGGCGCGCTTGGGTCTTAGTTGACGCTGTGGACGCCGGGGCTGTTTGCGTGGCAGGCGTGGCGCTCTTGTCGACATTGACCGTCACCCTGAGGATCCGATATTGAAAAAATCAATCCTACGATTGAAAAAATCATTTTCAATAATATTGAAAGTGGTCCATGTTGCAGCTTGAAAAACCAAAATCATTATCAATATTATATTGATCATGATATTGATCGAAATTGATTCCTGATATTGATCATGATATTGAAAATTTTTGATCCTCATTCTGGTCCTGTCTTTTTAAATGATATTGACATGTTACTATGTCTTGGAGACCATGCTCAGCATTTTTTTCACTTTGCTATCTTTCTCACTTTCTCCCACCTGTGTGGCTTCTTCTATCTTTTTGTTCCATTTTGCATCAGCTTCCTAATTTATCCTTCTCAGCCTGGGCTTTCTTGCAAGCCTTTGAAGGTTTCTTTTCTGCCTCAAGATCCTTCTTGTCTTTCTTTTCTTTTCTTTCTTTCTCTTCTCTTTTGGCTGGCTGGCCCTTGCCTTCGTTCAGGCCTTTCCTTCCTCTTGAGAGCTTTCTTCTTCTTCATCGGAGCTGCTGGAGGATTTGGACAGGGCATCTTTCAGCTGGAGGCTTTTGTCTGGCCTTCTTTCAGACCACAAATCCTCCCATTCCTTGTCAGTCCTGGCTGCTGCCAAAGCTTTCTGGCAAGCCCTGAGTTCTGCTCCTTTCAAAGCCAGCTCTTGCTCAGCAGCAATCCTTTTTTTCTGCCCCACTGTCAGTTCAGTCCTGGTTTTCACCAGGAGAAATCCGAAGATTTTTTTCCCAATTCTTTTCACTGCTATTAGGCCAGCTTCCACCCTTTCCAATGCTTCATCTGGTCCATACCAATCTTGGATTTGCTTCCAAGGGACCCATTCAAACCATTCTTTTTCCTTTTTCGAATTGGCAACCTCTTGGCTTTTTTTCAAGCCCCCTTCCTCTGCTGACCCTGTCCTCAAGAAGTGCAGCAGCAACTGCTTTTTCTTTTCCAGGACACCAGGGCCATCCATTTGTTGCCAGGCTTCTTTTGCTTCAGGGACTTTGTTTCTTGCCCCTTCGTATTTCATCCACAAGGCAGCCTTGTCTTTGCTGTTGATTTCGTGCCAAAAACCAGCTTCTGACAATGTGCCTTCTTTCAGGCCCTGAATGGCTGCTTGTGTTTTTTCATGCCGCTTCAACCTGCCAGAGGTCAAAGAAAGAGTTGTCTCAGAGCCATCTTTTTTTTGTCTCTTTGATGGCCTTGCATTTGCAGAGTTTTGTTCTGCAGAAGCCGCCACAGCTGTCACTGCTGCCTTTGCAGCATTACATACATTACATACATTACATACCGTACATGCAATGCATACAATGCATACAATGCATACAATGCAAACATTGCATACACGACATACATGACATACATGGCATACATGACATACATAACATACATGGCATACATGAAATACATGACATACATTAATGCATTACATGCATTACATGCATTACATGCGTTACATGCGTTACATACATTACATACATTACAAACATTACATACATTACAAACATCACAAACATCACATACATCACACCTGATGGACCGAATCTACTTATCCTACTTATAAGTAGGTTTTAATTAGGTTTTAAATAGCATAAGTAGATATTAAGTAAGAGATAAGTAGGTTAAGTAGATGTTTCTAGTTAGCTTACTTATTCTCTACTTGTATCTAGTTAATTCTACTTAGCTACTTATTAAGTAGAAATAAGTAGAAAATCCTGGTTGTTGTCTAAGTAGGTTAAGTATACTTAATTTTACTTATTTCTACTTAACCTACTTATTTTTTTTCGTTGTTTTTGAGGTATTTGATCATATTGCTTGGATTTTTGCATTTTTTTCATTGTTTTTTTGTTTTGTTTAATAGTCATGTTTTTTGGGTTTTGAGGAATCTATTGTTTTCAATGTGAAATTGCAAATTTTATTGAGTTTTACAATGTTTCACCGGTTTGTGCAGTCACGCTTTGTAGTTTGCATTGCTTGTTGAAGAAAGCGGTGTGACCGCTCTATCATGAGTTTGTAAGCGGTGTGACCGCTATGAAGTCATGAGCGGTGTGTCCGCTATGTTTAAAAAAGTGTTTGTATATAGTGGTTCCGTGTCTGATTCTCAAGCATGAGTTCCTGCAACCAACGTATGGTCATCCATGTCTTGTGCAAGCATATATGATTTTATGTTGCATTATTTTCATTTCTGCAATGTTGCACACTCATAATTATATATATATATAGACATGTGTATGAATATATTTCCTGGCAACTTTGGATTTCGACGATGGACGAAGCTTTGGAGCCGGAGGCGCGGCCGCATGGGAGCTCTTCAGCCAACCCAGAGGAGCCTGAGGCTGAGCCTGTGGATAAATCACCATGTTCTTTACTTTTCTCGATGATGCCACCTGCAGAGGTGGTGGTGGATAAATCACCAGCTGTCTCAACGACGCCAGAGGCAGAGGTGGTGGATAAATCTTCAACTGGCTCAATGACGCCAAAGGTGGAGGTGGTGGACAAATCTCCGGCTCATGGTTTTGTTCGTCCTACACCGAAAAAGAAGCTGCCTCTAGGTCCGTTGGCTGCGAAGAGGAGCGCAGAACGATGTGGAGCTACGTCCAAGGCTCCAGCAACTGCAGCAACCACGGCTGGCGAAGCGATGCCAAAAAGTAGTGGACAGGGTTGTTTGGTGTCGAGTCGATTGATTTTGAGAAAAAATCTTGTGAGCGGTGTGGCCGCTGGATAATTAGCTGGGTGTTGCATATATAATCAAGTCTTGCATAGATCATTTGTATATGTCAGGTGTGTGTCTGTGAGTGTTTGTGCGAACATTGTCTGCAGGAAGTGCCCCATGGCATTCTCAAAGAGCAAGAAGATCTGAGACGGAAGAGCCGCATGGACTGGCGCCGCCTACTGAGAGTGCTTCTGCTTCCTCGAGCACATCTCTTTTTGATCTTTTGGAGACTGTCAATCCCTATTTGTCGCATCCCTCGACGCATTCAGCGACCGCAGCAGCCAGTGGTGCCCCGAGTGTGAGTTCGAGGATTGCAGATATGCTGCCGCCTATGCCCAGTCTGCCAGCAGCCCGTGTGAAGGCTGCAGCTCCATACCCTGAAGCTCCACCGCACCGTGCCTGGGCAACGTCTTGAGAGATGATTTTTTTTGGTGGGTTTAGCAGGAGTGTGGAAAAAAAACAAGTAGTGCATGATGACATCCATGCACAGGCAGTGACCCCAGCACTGGCTGCTACGATGTCTATGAGCACGAGAGCTCCCGCCAACGCCAATGGCGCCTCTTTGGCGTGTGGCGCACACGGGGTGGCCGCAAGGCACCAGAAATCACGGCACGGTACAGGGACCAGCGCCGCTGACCGCTGGCAGTCTAGAGAAAAGGAAGTGCCCGATCTCTAGCATGTTAATTAAGTAGCACTGTGACCGCGCATTATATCATGTTTGTGTAGCGGTGTGACCGCTCATCATATCATGTGCGTGTAGCGGTGTGCCCGCTTATCTATAGTAGATTTGAACATGTGCATATTTATATATATATTTACTATGTAAAAATTAGTAGGTATATGCGCGCATGCAACTGTATAGTCCAGCAATGTCAATGTTTTTTTTCTGCAAGGAAAATAAATTGCAGCCCGATGCCTTTTGAGGGTTCAACCATGGTGGATAGACGCAAATCTCAAAATTTTACAGCCCTTCCCGATTACTTTACCGATTCTTTATGGAACCTCTTCGAAACTTCGAGCAAGGAGAAGTCTCAGACTGCTCTCTTTAGACATGGGTGGCAGCTGGGCTTGAGGTGCCCTTCCGAGCACACCTATGCGGTGATGTACAATATCCTGACGATGGTTCGGCCCGAAACTTCCATGAAGTCAATGTCGACTTTTGAAAAGTATTCGAAGGTTGGTGAGCTCAAGAAAGCCTGGAAAAAGTTCAAGCAGGTTATGAAGGTGCATGATTTTCAGTATGTGGAGTACCTGGAACAGTTGCCGCAGTTCCCTGGTGACCTTCCACAAGAGTATAGTGATGCTGCTTTTCAACTGGAGCCTGCTGTGGCTAGTCGTCTCTTGGTTTGCACATGCCATTCTGTGTTGTTTGAAAACAAAATCTACACAACCGAAGTCACGAGAGCCAAACAGGAATCCAGCGGTGTGACCGCTTGCATGCATACATACTCACAGAGCGGTGTGACCGCTTTAGATAGAAGTAGTTTGTCATGCAATTTTTCTTGTTCGGTTAGATATAGATATACATATATACATACATATATATATAAGTAAATGTATATATATATATATACATATGTGTGTATTATACGTGTATATATATATATATGTATATATCAATAACCTAACATGAGGTATGAGGTATAGAACCGCACGCATGCTGAAACAAAATCTTTGAGGATTGCAGACCGACGACCTTTTGATGGCTGTGGCTGGGAATACGTTGAGATGGAGGGGTCACGTGCCTGATGAAAAGGTCGACAAGGAGAGTGATGATAAAATGAAGCTGATGGAGATGGCGTTTCGTATGGGGAAAGAAGCTGGCTCAGGAAGCTCATCCTCGCATGGCCCTTCCAGTGCCAACAGTCGTCCCAGGTTTCCTCTTCTTGCCCTCGAGGATGGAAAAGTTGAAGAACCACCAGCAGAGGCTACTGAGTTGATGTGATGATGTATATATATATATACAAATTGATCGTCTGCTGGTATAAGGATGATCTAGTCTGAATTTGGCAAGCGGTGTGACCGCTACAAGTTGGTGTGGATAACTTGTATGTTTTTCATATGGCATGATGTTTTTTGTCTTTGCTTGGGCTAAATTTGGTGACAACCTGAGTCAGGCTGACACGCAACAGGATGCAACGGTTTTGGCAGTTCCTTCTGGCACTGGTCATGCAGATCAGCAAGATGACCTGGAGGATCCTGAAGTGGACAGGGAGTTGGCAGGCCTCGAGGCAGACGCTACCAAGCACCAGGAGGTGTCAGGTGATGTTGGTGTTACAAAGCTTCAGGATGCTTTGGACACTAGGAATGCGCAGAAGAGAGATGCAAAGGCGGTCGGTGCCACCTGCAAGGCCAGTTGCAAGAAGCCAGCTGCCAACGTACAGGTTTTGAAAAGACCTAGTGCCAAAGTGAAGGCTAAAGGCAAAAGCAAGGCCAAGGGCCAAGTGAACGCTAATGCCAAGGACAAAGGCAAGAAGCCGGCCAAGAAGCTGAAGATGAGCAGGGAATGCATTTACTCCAGAGCATACCACCAGGCCTCTCATCCTTTGCAAAGTATTTTTTCAAAGCGAAAAATGTTGAAGACATAGATATATTAATAGATATAGTTACATCTGCATTGACCAGGCGGAAGTCTTGGCTTCGAAAAGAGCGGACTTGACGGAGGAACAGATCCAGAAGAAGGCGAGGACTGCCGGTCAGAAAGCTGTCAAGTTGCACTTTGGGGAGAAGTGACATTGACGTTCAGGTGGCATGGGTCCTTCTGTACATTTTACAAACGAGCGGCATGAGACGCCGCTGGGCTGGAGATTTGCAAAAAGGCGGAGTGTAGCCAATCACCCAGGGAACGACACTTTTGAGTTCTTAAGCGGTGTGCCCGCTGAGCGGTGTGACCGCTGTATATGTATGTATGTAGATATATATATATATATATTAATATTTAATAATATTTCTAAATAAATATGCAATGTGGTATATCATGAACTTCTGCATCTATGGAAAAAACATTGTTGATTTCCTGCGCCCAGTGTGCAAGCAAGAGTGTCAAATAGAAGTGTTTTAGGGCGTTGCTGACCTGGTCTTGGCAACAGGACAAGGCACTCTTGCAATGGTGCGCTTTACGTTCGCACCATGTCAGTGGAGCACCATGGAGGGCTTGACCTCAGAGGCCTTGTGGGACCAATGGGCTGAAAACGCTGCCTGGCGAGATTTGTCTCCGACGCAGCAGATGAGGCACCGCTGCGACGACAAGTTGCTCTATCTAGGCACTGGATACACGAGTGAGAAGTACGACCTGGTCGAGGAGCACGCCAATTTGCATTGGAAAGCGAACTGGAAGATGTATTTTGGTTTCATATAGTAATATCGTAGATAATGTATCTCAGTTTTGATCGTGTTATGGCTTGGTTTGCCTTGTTGTTAAAATGTATATATGTATACAAGCACCTCGATTTTTGGCGAGGTACTTGGGCAACTCTGGCCATGCAATCGTGGTCCGCCCATGTCTTGAGCCGGAGGGGGTCAAGGTGTTTGATTTCTCTTGGGACAGCACCTCGAAGACCCTCCATGTGAAGAGTCCTTGGACTGGTCGCTATCTTTGCCGAGTTCCTGGAACCTGTGGCCCGCGTCGGGAGTTTTGGCAGGCCTATGTTTTTTTAGCTTTGAGCGGTGCGCCCGCTGTTAAGAGAAGAAAACTGGAAAAATATATGAAAGCTTTGTCTCTTTGCTCTAAGCATTGAGCGGTATAAGGTCCGCTGTTTTTAAATCTTCTTTGTAATTTTTCGATGATTTGGATTATGTTTATTTTGGAAGCGGTCTGACCGCTGTTTGCCTACATGGTGGGCACAAAGAAAAAGGCAAGATGAATTGATTCTCTTGCTTTGATCTGAAGTTTGACCAACCTCAGGGCAGCGGTACTTGTCCGCTTTTTTCATCAACCATTTTCTTTGTGCAAGAAGCCTGCGCAGGCGTTTGATGATTTTATCGCTTTCTGCGATGGGCATGCAGACCAAGAAGATTTCAATCTGGGATCCTGCCAGCTGCGCTGTGTGGTGTCTGGTCGCCACTTGGGCCCGAACATGCGCAAGTTGACCATGCACGAGATTTTCGTGCAAGCTGATGCAGTCCTGATTGCAGGCAAGGCAGATCAAATGGAAGATGAAACGCTGGCGCGCAAGTTTCTAGTCGTGTTAAAAGTTTTTTTTTTCTGATGTTTTTTCTGGGCAACGATACCGTGGCCTGAAAGGGTTGTGTGGATCTCTCAAGCTGAGGCTGCGTGGTGATGGTTACTTGCCGAAGAGTATGCCTCATGCTTTGCCTCCTCCATATAGTTTGTCCAAGAATGGATCGTCGGGCAGCAAGGCCAAGAAGACCAAAGAAAGAATCATGAAGAAACCTGCGGCCTCTGCAGCGTTGAAAAAACCAGCTTGCAAGAAGTGAGCGACAACAGATATGTGGATCGGCGGCTATAAAAGAACGCTGCAGTTTGTTTTTGGGCAGATTTTATTTTTGCGAGCTTGATCTTCAAACAAATAAACCAAACACAGAAGCGGTGTGCCCGCTGAAACCATGCAACCTTGTGATTTGTTTGACCAAATTTTTTTTCACGACTGTTTGAAACACAGAAGCGGTGTGCCCGCTGAAACCATGCAACCTTGTGATTTGTTTGTCCAAATTTTTTCACAACAATTTGAAACACAGAAGCGGTGTGCCCGCTGAAACCGTGCAACCTTATGATTTGTTTGACCAATTTTTTTTTCACAACTGTTTGAAACACAGAAGCGGTGTGCCCGCTGAAAACATGCAACCTTGTGATTTGTTTGACCAAAACTTTTTTCACAACTGTTTGAAACACAGAAGCGGTGTGCCCGCTGAAACCATGCAACCTTGTGATTTGTTTGACCAAAACTTTTTTCACAACTGTTTGAAACACAGAAGCGGTGTGCCCGCTGAAACCATGCAACCTTGTGAACACCATGTTTTCTTGTGAACGTTTTTTTTACAACTGTTTTTTTAAAGATCCGTTTGAAACAAAGAACCTGTGCGCAAGGTGATCATTGTAACCGCTCACAACCTTTTGGGCCGTCCATGTGGACATTGTGGGTGATCTCCGGCTATCTCCGGCTATCTCCCCGCTATCTTCACCATCGATGCCAATTTTGTTCCCGCTATCTCCGGCTATCTCCCGCTATCTTCACCTACCGATGATTTTGTTCCCGGCTATCTCCGGCTATCTCCCGCTATCTTCACCTACCTATGGATTTTGTACCGGCTATCTCCGGCTATCTCCGGCTATCTCCCGGCTATCTTCCAGATATCTTCAGGCGTTTGCTTCTTTTTTTGCTCGCGTTTTCATCTGTGATGGTTTAATTTCTCTGCATGAGATGCTGTCTGCTGGTACGGAAAATCTGCTGTGGACGCAGATTTTCGGCTGTCGAGTGCCCGGTGTGCCTGGGCGTTTTGCAGGCTATGGCGTCGGTGCCCGCTGAGACCCAGGTGGCCCAGTCGGACGAGACCCAGCTGACCGACGGAGAGGAGACACTGGAGTGCCAGAAATGCGGCTCCAGCACCAAGGCGTCTGACGGAGCAGTGCCGAAGGCAGCAGGTCAAGTTTACTGCAAGTGGTGCGCCAATATATACCAAATGTTGTACCGACATTTGGGTGGCTTGCCACAGACGTTGTCCACCATGACAGCTTCAGAGCAGAAGGAGTTTTGGAAGAAGTCGTCTGAGCTCATCCAGGCGACCCCCAGGAATGGAAGATGGTCTCTGGTGAGGTCTTCGTTGGTGTCCGAAATGTGCCGCTTCAAAAAGGAGGTGATGACCCGCCGCGTTCGAAGGGAGTTCAAGCCCTTGTCGGTTTGGGCCGCTGAAGGCTACGACGTCCGCCTCCTGCAGGAGAAAGGTGAGAAGGAGGAGAACCCAGTGCCTGCGCTGAACTATTTGTCTTTGGGAGGGGTTATACCCCACAATTGATATGGCATGCAGCGGTGTGCCCGCTTGATCTCATATGATGCACTGAACTTTTTTGATTTGGAGGACGGGTTTCCTCACAATTGATCTAACATGCAGCGGTGTGGCCGCTTTCTATCATGTGGTGCATTTCCCCACAATTTATATAGCATGCAGCGGTGTGCCCGCTTGATATATCATAGATACATTTTCCCGACGACTGAGCTATAGCATGCAGCGGTGTGCCCGCTTGAAAGATACTATGCAGCTTTGCCTTCCCTCCTGAAACCGATAGGTATGGGGAGAGACCTGGGCGGCGCCGAAGCTTGTCATCGATGACGATGAGGTCCGTGGAAGTGTTGAGAAGGAGTTGGCTGAGAAGGAGTACGCCTTAAAAAAGGCAAAGGTGGTGAAAGGGAAGTCAGTACAACGTGACAAAACCACCACGGCCACCGCAGCCACGACGGCCACCACGGCCATCCCAATCGAAGACGATGAGGTCTGGAGTATCCCCAGTGAGGGGGAAGCGGCAGTGGCAAAGGAGCCGGGGAACAAAGCAGCCAAGTGTGGCAAGGAGGATGACGCAGCGAAAGCAGCGCGGAAGGCCGCCAGGGAAAGGGTGGCAGCTTGGAAGAAGGAAGTGGGCAAAGCATCCAGGTGCGTCTGTTCCCTCAACAGCGTCCACCAGTCCTTGGTGACCACCAGTGCCAAGTGCGAGAAGAACAAAGAGCTTTTCACCGAGGAGACCATGAAAGGCATGCGCGATGCTTTGCAGGAGATCACAAAGCACAAGAACAGTGCCTTGGCACTTTTCGTGAATTTTTTCTCAAGAGCAGAAAAAGTCCAAGTCTGCACATTGAGCGGCGCAGCCGCAGAGATGTATAGATAACGCGCATATATATATACACTCATGCATGGAAAACATTTATAGTGACAGAGCGGTGTGCCCGCTGTGCTGGTAATTTGTTCACTATATGTGGAATGTACACACATATATTAGTATATAATATATACATAGGTAAATACATAAATATAAATAAATAAATAAATATATATGTATGTATGTATATATATATGTATGCATTTGCTTCTTTGAGCTCTGTGACCCCTGAACTTTTTTCATATGTTTAACAAACTGGTGGGACTTGTCTCAGTTAGTTTCAACAGTTCAATTCTTTCTGTATATATGGCTGGTCTTACCTTGTTACTGCTGCGGCTTGCCCGCTTGGAAGATGTTGTACAGATTGCATGAACCTGAGGCGCTGCAACTTTGGTGAGCGCGACCGATGAGGAGAAGAATGTCAAGATGCCGCTGATCTTTTCTGACGTTTCGGAAGTGCAGGAGGCGGTGAAAGCCGCGCAGCTGGTCCTCAAGGATGTGAGGGCGATCTTCAGTGAAAAGTCTGCGGCCAACCGTGCCCTGAAGGCAGCGGCCAAACCGAAGCCTGACTCTAAGGCAAAGGCAAAGCCCGGCGCTAAGAAGAGAGCCACTGGGAAGCAACCTGACCAGTAGCAATTTTTTTGTGTGACCATTGCAGCAGTGGATGCAGCATGGTTGGACTTAGCTCAGTGCAATTTGATCTTTTGGGATCTCTGAACCGTCTGCGTTTCGTAGACGCAGCACCGCAAGAAGCAAAAGAAGAAAAAAGGATATGCCTTGTCAAAGTTTTAATTGAAGCGGTGTGACCGCTCAGCGGTGTGACCGCTTTGAACTCTATTATTCTAAATATTGCTTGTGTCAGCGGTGTGACCTTTTGATCGTGTGGCCGCTTTAGATTATATTCTTTGTATTGCTTGTGTGACTTGCGTGACCGCTTTTAACCCCAGGTTTCTTCTGTTGCTTGTGTTAGCGGTGTGACCGCTTTATCTCATGGCAGTGCTACAGCGGTGTGTCCGCTATATATACCCCCTGTGCATGTGTTTGTCTGACATTCTTTGCAGCGGTGTGCCGGTTGATCGAAACCTTCCCTATAGCACTGTGCATCTGCAGTTTCTTTATATAGCTATAGTAGCTGAAACATGTGCTTCCAATGTGTCTTGCAATGCATTCTTATATATCCCTCAGAATGGACAATGTAGTTTTAAACATATGTCTCTGAATCCAGATTTTTATGACCCAATTCATGAAATTACATTGTTTGGTGCTTCCTTGAACATGCCATGGCGAAGCGAAAACTTGCACCCGAAGATGTAGGAAAACTGCAGAAATGCTTAGAAGTGAGAGGCGCTTCTGAGAGAGCTGTCCACGACATATGGAACATTTGTCACGACAAGGACAAGAAGATTACTCGAGGAACATTTGAACGGAATGTGGAGCAAGGTAAAGAGGCATGGTTAGCAGTCACTGAGGCAGTGACATTTTCATGTCACGATGGTTCTGATGTGGCTTTGCCCATTGTTGACCTGCGCAAATATCTCCAGAAAATGTGCAGCGAGGTGCCTGCTTGGAGATCCGCCTTGGAGACTGCGTTGAGCCAAAGCCGTTCCTTATCTCCAGTCCTTTTTTGTGACGAATGCACTTCTGGGAACGTGTTGGCTGTGAACAAGCTTAGAAAGGCCAATTTATATCACCTCAGTTGGCTAGAGCTTTGGCACCTGCTCAAAAATCAAAATGCCTGGGTCCCTTTGACCTGCGTTCAGTCTCAGTGCCTTTCCAAGATCAAAGGTGGAGCCAGCAGGGTCATGATTGAGATCCTGAAGCGGGTCTTGACCCCTGAAAATGAGCAAGGATTCCGTCTCAGTGACATGGTCTTTCGACAAAGGCGAAAGGCGAAGTTTGTAGCAGACTTGGAGGCGGTGAGATCTGTATACTCCGTAAAGGGGAGTGCAGGACTTCGTTGCTGCATTTTGTGCCGAAACGTTGTGAAAAAGGATTCTGGGGTGCCATGCCATGACAATTTTTTCGTTGAGATATCGTCAGCAGGAGGTTTCATCGATGCAACCAATGATGATATCTTTCAACAATGTGACCGAATGATGGCACCCTGTACCAGAAAGGCTATGGACGCTCAAGAGATTGCCGCTGGAATCACTTTCGATCCAGAAACTTTGCTCTGGTCGCCTGTGCGAACTTTGATGCCTCCATCGGAAATCATTTACGACGTGATGCATGTTTACCTGATCAACGGCATCGCCTCTTGGGAAGTCCATTTGCTTTTGAACAAAGTGTATGAATGCACCCGTGTTACCCGGGAAAGCTTTCAGAGTGCTGTGATGGCCTCCCAATGGAAAGGAATGAAATCAAGTGGGAAGACCGAGAACTACATCAAAAATCTTTTTGAGGAGCGTATGTTTGGCGAATCCCTCTTCAAAGGGCAGGCCCACCAGACTTCTTCAATTGTGCCCTTGATCAGGTACTATATGGAAGAATTGTTTGAGCGCAGCCTTCCCGAGTTTGTCTGCAAATCTTTCAAGTGCTTAGGCAACATAGTGAAATTCATCCGGGAGGTGCAGAATGGTCTCGTGGCAATTGATGAAAGGACGAGGACCCATTTAGATAAACTCCAGCGAATGCACCACATCTACTTCGGCAAAGCCTATGGAGAGGATGAGTACCGGCCGAAGCACCACCACCGGCATCACCTGCCTCTCCAGTGGTTGCGCGCCGGGGTGCCAGTCACATGTGAAAGCCTTGAGTCCAAGCACAGCCTTTACAAACTTGGCGTTGGAGATCATCAGAAGAGTCTAGTCCACGACCATGGAAAGTTTAGCTCCTCAGTGCTCACCAAGATGCTCCAGACCAATTGCGCGCTTCTCCAGAAGACAGGATTACCTTTCTGGGAACTTCTTCCGCCCATCAGCGAAGCCACCATGGACGACAAAATCTTTTTCCTGTCAATGGAACTCAAGACCAGCAAGAGCCGCTGGGACTTAGCATTATACTTTCAAAACTCAGTTTTTGTTGCCTGAATGTTGATCATAAACTATGTCTCTGTTTCCCGTGCCATATAAGCGGTGTGACCGCTGCATGCTGCTTTCTTAAATTTGAATCCCTTTATATCATGTTCAGGTTGCCACCTCGTTGCGAGCAAGCTGACCGAAGGCGACGTTATCTTGACCCAGTTCCATGCGGGTATCATCCTGGAATGGTTTTGCCACCCGCATGAAGGATTATATGTTCGATGCCAGAAACTGGATTTCGCACCTTGCCCATGCAATATTATGTCCGAACATGGCCCACAGGATACAAAAAAAATACGCTGCGTGATTTGTTTGTTGAATCTTTTTCTTGGCACACTTGGGCCAATCAGGTATCCGAAAATGCTGCCATGACCACTTGGAAGGTGACGCAAGACATTGTGTCGTGGAAGTTGTGCACGGAGGAAAGCCCCGAGATTCCGTCATGGTACCGCTTCTCGGTGGACAACCAGTTCGTGACTTGCCTGAAATGAAAGTAAAAAAGGCTGGCCGAATCGTTCCTGCACATGTAAGATGTTGAGCGGTGTGACCGCTTCAGTTGTTGTACGCGTTTTGTATCAAATATATAATCATATATATGTCCAGTAATGAATATCTGTAATTACAAATATGTATATATATATATATATCACATACACAACTTTGTGTATATGTGGCTGTCAAAGCGGTGTTTCCGCTGAAGAAACTTCTGTGTTTGCCATGTTTTTGTTGCAAGATATAGCGGTGTGACCGCTGGATGCTTGGTAACTGAAGTTTTTTTCGAACAAAAAACAGCCCGAGAAAATTTGGCTTATATTCTATTTCCGTCTTGTTCCAACAGTCATGGCTTCGCAGCGGCTCCTCATGTTTGCAGCCATGATCTTTCAAGAAGCGGCGACGTGGCCAGAGGAGAAGCTCGAAAAGCTTGAGTGTTGCAGAGAATGGTGTCGCAACATTTGCTTAAAGATTGGTCTCAGCCTCACTACTTGCTGCCTGGCAGATTTTTGGGTCGCGATGACATGTGTGCAAGTCATGATCGCTGGTTTAGACCCTGCGGACATCAATGAATCGAGCATGGGAGTCCAAGCATTTGCTGCACCGATCTCCGACCTCAGCAAAATGAACCCCTACGAGAAGCTGCACTACAAGAAGTGTCTCTTGACAGTTGAAGAGATGTTATCGCTCTTGGAACCCATGGAACCGAATTTGATTTCTCAAATTCAAGCTTTTGCGCAGGAAGTGGGCGAAGCGATCGCCAACTAGCCATGTGCAGTTGTAGAGTGGAAAAAAATGTGAGTGATTGCCTATATCACGTGAATATTTGTCAGAAACAGCGGTGTGCCCGCTTTGCTGCATGAAAGCGGTGTTGCCGCTACATGGCACCAAATAGAAGCCAATGCTTGATTTTTCCGCTGAACAACCTGGAAAAAATCAGTTTTCTAAACATGTCGCATGTATATTTTTTTGAAAACAGACTCCAAAATCAGAGTTTTTGAGATCGCAAATATGTTTTTAAAAAAACAATGTTTTCAAGCATGGTCTACTTATTTCTACTTATTTCTACTTAGCTTCTACTTATTTCTAGTTATTTCTTACTTAATTCTACTTATTTTTAATATAACTTTCAATTAAAAGATAAGTAGGTTTTAAGTAGAAATAAGTAGATTAAGTAAACTTAAGTAGAAATAAGTAGATAAGTAGAATCGGTCCATGAGGCATACATCACATGCATCACATACATCACATACCTCACATACCTCACATACGTCACATACCTCACATACACATACGTCACATACATCACATACACATACATCACATACATCCCATACATCACATGCATCGCATGCATCACATGCATCACATGCATCAAATGCATCACATGCATCACATCCATCACATCCACCACATCCACCACATCCACCACATCCATCACATCCATCACATCCATCACATCCATCACATCCATCACATCCATCACATCCATCACATCCATCACATACATCACATACATTGCATGCATTACATACATGACACACATTACATACATTACATGCATTACATATAAAACATACATTACATGCATTACATGCATTGCATACATTACATATTACATACATTACATACATGACATACATGACATACATAACATACATAACATACATACCATACATAACATACATACCATACATAACATACATTACATACATTACATACATTACATACTTTACACACTTTACATACATTACATGCACTACATACATTACATACAATGCATACAATGCATACATACCTTACATTACATTATATACATTACCTTACATTACCTTACCTTACATTACATGCATACAGTATATATATACATACATACATACATACATAGTGTACTACTGTACATATATACATACATACATACATACATACATATACATACATACATATACATACATACATATACATACATACATATACATACACATACACATACACATGCACATGCACATACACATATACATACATACACATACACATACATACACACACATACACACATACATGCATACATACATACATACGTACATACACACATACACACATACATACATACATTACATTACATTACATTACACTACATTACATTACATACATACATACAATACATACAATACATACATTTCATCATTTCATTCATTTCATACATTTCATACATTTCATACATTTCATACATTTCATACATTTCATACATTGCATACATTTCATACATTGCATACATTACATACCATTACATACCATTACATACCATTACATTCCATTACATACCATTACATTCCATTACATTACATTCCATTACATTCCATTACATTCCATTACATTCCATACATTACATTACATACATTAATTGCATGCATACATACATTACATACATACATTACATACATAGATTAGATACATAGACTACATACATTACATACATGACATACATTACACACATTACATACATTACATACATACAGACATTACATACATTAGATTACATTACATTACATTTACATTTACATTACATTACATTACGTTACATTACATTACATTGCATACACACACATACATGCAAACAAACACATACATACAAACAAACAAACAAACAGGCACACATACATACATACATGCATACATGCATACATACATTGACTTACATTGACATACATTGACATACATACATACATTACATTACATTACAGTACAGTACATTACATACATGCATTGCATAGATACATAGATACAAAGATACATAGATACATAGATACATACATACATACATACATTGACACACATACATACATTGACATACATTGACATACATTTGACATACATACATACATTGACATACATACATGCATACATACATACATACATTGACATACATTGACATACATACATACATGCATAACATACAAAACATACAAAACATACATACATACATACATACACGCATGCATGCATACATGCATACATACATGCATACATACATGCATACATGCATACATGCATGCATACATGCATACATACATGCATACATACATGCATGCATACATGCATACATACATTGACATACATTGACATACATTGACATACATACATACATACATACATACATTACATACATACATACATACATTACATACATACATACACACATACATACATACACACACATACACACATATATACTTACAGACATACAGACATACAAACATACAAGCAGACATACAGTACATACATAACATACATACATACATACATACCTTACATTACATTACATTACCTTACCTTACATTACGTACATACATACTGTATATACATACATACATGCATGCATACATACATACATGCATGCATTACATTACATTACATTACAGTAAAGTACATTACATTACATACTTGCATTGCATAGATACATACATACATACATACATAACATAATTACATAACATACATAACATACATACCATACATACCATACAAACCATACATCCATCCATCCATCCACCCACCCATCCATCCATCCATCCATACATACATACAATATCATACAATACATACATTTCATCATTTCATACAATACATACATTACATACATTGCATACATTACATACATTGCATACATTGCATACATTACATTACATTACATACATTACATACATTACATTACATTACTCGTTACATTACATTACACTACACTACACTACACAACGCTACACTACACTACACTACACTACATTACATGACATACAGACGCATACATGCAGACAAGCAGACAGACAGACAAACAGACAGACAAACAGGCACACATACATACATACATACATTACCTTACCTTACCTTACCTTACCTTACCTACCCTACCCTACCTACCTACCTACCTACCATCTTTGTCACACACCAGCTTTCTTTGTCACACACCATCTTTCACATACAACTTTGTCCCACACAACTGTTTTTACTTCTCGATCCTTCACCACCTCCTTTGTCTTTCCTTCCTTCCCCGTCCCGCTACAACATTTGCTGCTCATTATTGGAAGAAGTTGACATGTGGGGTTATCCGGTCCTTTAATTTGAAGGGGGGAGGTGCAAAACCAATGGTATTTCACAGCTCTAGAAGCACGCCCCCCAGAAATTCCATTGCAGCAGTAGGATTCCGCAGGGGCAGGAGTTCGCAGAGGTCATGCGCGGTTTGCTTTTTAATCTATGTCTATCCACTTGACATATCTAGGCTAAAATGTGGCATCCGGAGGGCCCCCCTCCACCTCTTTTGGAAGCCCAAAAAACACGTGGGGATATTTTTTTTAAATGTGGTCAGGTGAAATACTTCTCAGAAATTTCTTGCCTTGCCTTACCTTCCAGGGTTAAGGGGGGGGACGAGGAATCCCACATCCAGCAGCTTGTGCTCAAGCACAGAATTTGCCAAACAAGCAAAAAGCAAAATCCAGTCCCACAAGTCTCATTCTGCCAGCAAGCGGCTTTCCTGTCAGAAACTCCTTTTGCACGGCAACACCACCGTATACACGCGTCGTTGGGTAAACTGTGACTGCTTTTGGGTCAATGTTCACCCCTGATAACGCGACGTCTTGCACTTCCAGAAAGACTTCTGCGTAGCAGTTTACGCCAATGAGAAAAGGATCCTTGGAAACGGTGCATACCATGTAGAAAAATCATGGAAATTCAAAGTTGGTCGGTTGGTCAGAGATGGTCAGAGTCTCTTCACAGACCAGCCTATGACCCGTGCTGGCTCAACTCAACTTATCATTGACGAACCTCAACTGGACAAATGCTGGTGTTCGAATCTAGGTGTTGCTTTCATATTTTGTGCTTGAGCTTTGGCCCGATGTCACAAAGTGCCACTGAACCCACTTGCTCTGAACATCTTTGAGCCATACGTATTGTCTAAAGTCTAAACAAATGAACCCAGCACGCAACACAACATAACACAACAGTATCTCAGCCAAAATGCGGGTGGTGCGACGGCATTGCTTGGGGCCGAGGTGATTGGAACAGCAGGAGCTGCACCTGTGCGTTGTAGAAAGGAAGGCGACAGATGATCAACACATGCGATTTTGGGATGGATAACCATGAGGCTGTGGGGGCGCGCTGTTTCATAAATTTTGATCATCACACACAAAAAAGGGAGGGGGGTGCTGGTGCTGTGAGCGCCATATTTTTTTACGTTTTTGACCTTTCATTTCTGTAAAAGATACCAAAGCCTGTTCTTTCCAAAACCAAACATTGTTGCTTCTGCAACAAAAGCAACCACTGGGCATTCTCAGCAGCTCTCCCAATGTCCTACATAGATACATAGTTTCAGCCAAAACAAACGTTAATAATAAATCAAAACAACAAAACAAACAAGTGCAAATGCCTTTCCAAAGAGTGCAGCATTGCTTGAAACATGTGTAGGCCCTACATCTCTACGGGAGTTTCCCTCAACATATGCAATAGTTCTTTTGGGCATGTGCATTCTAAACAGGGACCAATTTATGCAATATGTTCTCTATTTTAAACAATGAAGGAAAACTAAATTTGTAAACCGCACTTGTAAAATGATTTTGAATAAAGAATACCATTCCTCAATGTACACAACCCTTTGCAGAAAGTGTGGCATTGTTTGAAAGACAAGTAGCATTTAAAAAAAATGTGCATTTTAAACAGGCACCAATTTATGCAATATGTTCCCTATAAACAATGAAGGATAATAACCATGGTAACGTTTCTTGTAAAATGGCTTTGCAAAAAAACACAATTTATCCATGTATGCAACAACCTTTTGCAAACATTGTTGCGTTCTTTGAAAGATGTGTAGCATTACTTCCCAATTTCAAGGAGAACCCTCCTATGTATGTACTGAATGATTTCAGAATCATAGCATTCCTGTAGGAAAATGTAGCATGCTGTTTTGCACGGTTGAATCTATTCTTGAATTACTACAGCATGGTTTTGAAAAGAGGCACATTTATTGGAACATGTGGTTTACCTTTGAAAGTGCAGATTCTTGTTTGCAAAGCGTGCAACATTATATATTGTAAGGAAGTGTAGCAAGAGCCTACTGTAGATTTGATTTTTGATTCAAAAGCCTGTTTAAACAAAGTGTGCTTTTTGTTACAAAGCAAGTATTGCACCACTTTCTGCAATATCGCCTTTCAAAGAGTACAGCTGTTCTATGGAAATGTTGTTTTGCTTTGAACAAGGTGCTACGTGACTCGACTTTCAGCAGGCCTTCAAAATGTGCAATATCTTATCTTTGTAAACAAAGAAGAATATGGCTTCAAACAATCCAAAACAAATTGTACTTATAAATCATAAATCTTAATGCAAACTTATTCAAATACAATTATGGCAATGTAAACAAGTGCTACATGCCTATGCAAAGAATGCAGTAGCACAATTACCCACAATATCTCTTTCAAACTAGTGCGACATTTTCTCGAAAAAAAAGTCATATAACTGCAAACTATGCAAAATCTGTGTCAATCAAGGAAAGCCTTCCTTTGAAGATGCGCACATGTATGTGTGTATATTATATATATATATGTGTGTGTATGTATATGTACTTTGAAAAGTGAATCGTTTCTTGGCAAATCTGTGAAGCATCCCCAAGAAAGTGTAACATGAGTCTACAGCAGTTTCCATCGATGATGTAAAAATGCTTGGGAAGATGGTCGTATTGCCAATTTATGCAACTTGTTTTCAAAAAAGTATAGCAGAAAACTAAGGTTATTATCTAGGACATGGCTGAACATTTCAAAATTGGAACACACAGTCTTGATCCTCAGGCCCAGTATGTTCATAGCTGCAGTGGTTAAACGATTGGTTCCCGCAAGTTTGAACGCATGAAGACACCGAACGGCCATTGTACAAAACGGTGCAAATGGCTGAAAGTGACCAAAGCCCAAAAAAAACTTTGGACAAAAAAACAAAAAACACATAATTTTCAGAGAGTCTTGGCTGGGACCCCCCCCTTCCAAAGAGTCTAGAAATATTTTTGTTTTTTTTTCAAAGTTTTTACCTCTTTTCAGAGAGTCTTGGCTGGGACACCCCCCCTTCCAAAGAGTCTAGACTTTTTATTTTTTGTTGTGTTTTTTTTTGGGTGTTTTTCCAAGATTTTTACTAAATGTGGTGTACTTCAAGGAAACCGGCATGAATCATAGGCAAAGCTGTCAAAGTGCCTTTGGGAGTGCAGTAAAACATCAATAAAACATCTCAAAATATCATCTTTCATCATGGGAAAACTGCACTCCCAGGGGCTGCCGTTCTGGTTCAGATCTATTCAAATCATTTCAAATCTCACGCTGTCAACATCCTGCAGGCATAGCTGACCTTGAGAGTTTCCCATGGGTGTTAGGGCCGCACGGGCAGGGGCGCCCACAGCAGCAATGACCAAACTTGTTGCTGCCAAATCCACCTGGCCGCACGCCGGGACACAGAAACACCTGAGATCACCTGAGCAAAAGATCCTTGCGAGCCTGGCTATCTTCATCGCCATCATGACCTGTCAAGTGCTCGATTAGGGGCTGCAGGTGTGAGAAATCAATAATTGAGGTACAGCACATTTTATGCGGACAACGCACATACAGGTTCAATTGGTGGGCCTCTCACGTGATGTGATCCTGGCAACATGTCCGGGAATGTCCAGTCCAAGTCTGATGCAGTCACACAGCATCACGTTGGCTGGTATTGGCTACGGCTTATTTGTAGATGCTCTTTTACCTCAAGGACAAAGCGCGAGACAAACTCACAACGAAAGCCAACATGGCTCTCCATTCATATGAGGGACGCATCTCCAAACATCGTGACAGCAGCACCCAACACACCACAACCCATCACAACCCCTTGCGCAAGCGGAGAGTACCTGGTATTGCCTGGTTGGACTCACTTGGACGATCCTAAGAGGTGTCCACCAACAAGTCTTGCAGATTCAACATGGAGAAAAACCAAGCGCGGAATCTTGGAAAGAATAAAGGCATACAATGGCATACAATGGCATGCAGGTGTGACAGGAAATATTTGATTTCAGCCAAAGCTCTTCCACTGGTCTCAAACCTGTGAGAGGCCCTGCAAGCCCCTCGGAGATTTCCGGCTCGAAATCCTGGGTGTTTTCCGCGTGCATTGTGATGCGCTGTGTGTTCCAATCCCTTTCTCAGCTACTAGCATATGCTCCATCAATATCCATCAGTGCCACCAATCAACTTTGAAAAAGTTCCCAAGCCGATGCAGTGAACTTGATAAAACTCAATTGGAACCTATCTCAATGACCAGAAAAAAATCCATACTTGCGCTGGAGCAGTGAAAAGGCTGTCGGAACAAGGACCTGCAAAGCCAAAATCACGCGGCTGTGTTAACAATGTGAAAGGCCAAGGTTCCAGAGTTTGGGCTGAAGGGCCAGCACTTCCATGCGCACCACCCGCTGCATTCAAGAGCCTTCACGTGGAAAATCTTGGCAGCATCTCTCATGCTGACCCCCCCTGTCTACGACTCTAGGCTTCGTATACTAAAAATATCTCAATCTAATTCTATCTATACATCAAAGAACCATTGTGACATGAATTGGCTGAGGCCTTTTAGATTGCTTGATTTGTGTCTTGAGGCGGCACTTTTTTCTATCGTCAAGAAACATATCTACACCGGAGCGTGAGGCCAACACATCTCCCTCAGGTTGCGCTCCTGTGAGATGATGCCCATGGTCATTAGGGTTCATGATAGTCACAAAGTCTCATAAACACTGGTGAAGGGCGAACAAAGCGCCTTGTGAACTCATGTGCTATGGTGAGTTCAAAATGTGATTGAATCACATCTGAATCAGCTCCATTCAAGTCCCCAGTGATGATTCCTGTAAATCTTTGTCAGATTTTGTCAGTGCTCCTGTGTTGGCTGGGCCCTCTCCATCTTCGCCCGTTGCTTCCTTGCTGCGAGGAATGGCGTGGTGAGATTTGAGCCCCCAGCATCTCGTTGGCCAGTCCCATGGTCGGCTCTCCCCTATATTCTCCAGTGATCTTTGGGAAGGTGCAGAATGTCCGGAGTCCAAATCTGAGTCGAGTCAAACATTCGCAGTCTTTTTCCAGCGCCTCAAAAGCCTGTGGAGCAGAACTGTCCTTCCACGGAAGGCTGTTGGTTGACATGATGCTCCATATTTGCCCTTGTTTTTCCCCAGCCATACCCTGCAATGAGATTAGTCATGGTCAGCGCAAGGCGTGGGCGTAGCCTCAAGTCCGTGGTGCAGCTTAAACTGTTCGTGTTATGGTTGCATTATATATCCGCTGGCTTCAACCACTGTCGCATTGTATTCGTAACCACGAAGAAAATGCCCGAAGACATGTTGTTTAGCATAATGCAGCCAATTTTGCCTCGGGCAACTCGTTTCTTCCCATACTGGACCCTCATTGCACTGCTAGGTTGGAATGAAACTTGACGCATAGGATCTTCATCTCGAGATCTAAGTACATGACCTAATGATCTGGATTTTCTGCGGTGATAAGATCGGCTAAAAAGTTCAAATTCCCGTTGGTCCCCTTGATTTTGGTAAAGGATTTCTGTACATCTCTGCAAGACTACTCTGTTGGGATTTTGCCTATCTGTGAAAGTTGACGGAATTCTGAGGATTCTTTTCAAGCACCGTATCTGGAAGGCATCAATTTTCTTTAGCATGGCCCCTGTCAGTTGAATAGTCTCCAGACCATACAACAACTTGGATCGCACTACCTCATCAAATATGAGAAATTGCCATTTAGCGTTCGCATTCATAGCCTTCCAGTACCGTAAAAGTTTAAAACCAAGTTTTTCTTACTTCTTGCATTTTGCTGAGAAGCTCATGTTTTATGTCAGCTTCGTTGTTGATTTCGCTTCCCAGGTAAGTCGCTTCCATCTTTTTGCGGAGCGGTTCGTCGTTTGCACAGTGGACCAAACCACCGTTGTTCTTTTGAATCACCGCGCGCTTATTTCTGTTCAGCCGCAATCCAAATTTGCCCCGAACTGTTTCTATGAGTTTCAGCAATTCATTTAAGGCCCTGTTGTCCGTAGAGAACAGAATGGTGTCGTCAGCATAGTAAACCAGATCGAAATTAAGGTATGGTATTCTGCCCTCGTGTGCGCAACGGCTTGTTTTAGCCTGTATTTCGTGATCAACGCAAGACATTACAATAACAAATAGGTATGGAGATAATGGGCACCCTTGTCTGATTCCAGAAGATTGGTGTTCGATTTGAGACGATCCAAACGCATCTTTTACGAAAACAGTAGGTTCCCTGTAACAATCTTCAATGATATCACAATAGTGTTGACTGAACCCAATTTTTTCAATGCAAAAATGAACCTATCATGCTGCGCTTTATCAAAGGTTTTTTCCCAGTCTAAAAGGGCTAGACTGAATTGGGTTCCCTTTGCCTCAGCAAAATCTCGTATTCGACGAAATGCATAAATGGCGTGAGATGTGGATCTCTGAGGTGGACAACCATATTGTGTATCAGATAAACTGTTGTCAATGGCAGCTTGCATTCGTTGATGGATCATGATCATATATACTTTTTTAAACACTACCTACTACTTAATAAAGAAATAGGTCTGTAATTTGCAGCGCTGTCCATCTTCTTTTTTGTATGTGGGGACAGCCCTTGCCAAAAAGGGCTCCGTTGGTGCTTTTCTGCTTAACCACCAGGTGTTGATCAGGTTTAGGAGGCACTGTCTTTTCCCCGAATTTCACCATGTCAAAAGTTCCAGATGCAGGCCATCTGGACCAGGTTGCTTGTTGTTTTTGGAAAACTTCAATGCCGCGTTGAAATTCCTCAAGTGTGAAAATGCTTTCTTCGGCCCCGTTATTCAATAATATCAGTGTATCGTCCGGCATACCTGCACTAAGGTCCTTGTTCCAATGTTTCGACGCTTAGTAATCAGCGATGGCCTGCGCCCTCTCTGTGATGGGAACATGTTTTCCACATTCGTTTTTCGTCTGTACATATTGGGGGGTAAAATATCTCTTCAAACCCTTTACCTCCATAAACCTTTCTTGTGCGGATCATTTGGGTTTTCATTGAACTGCTCTATCAAATGTTTTGTCGGTCTTGCCGGGCCTGTTTATAAATTTCTTTCTTTATATAGTCGTCTAACCTCTTGTGAGGGAGCCCCATGTCTCCTAAGTTGATTTCTTTGCTCGATCTTTGCCCATGTGTTTCTCGAAGTATACTTTTTCTTCTTTCCTGTTGGTGCCGATTCTAAATTGTTCTCTGCAGCGCGCGAGACACCTTCTACAAATTTGTTCAAACAAAACGGCTGTAGTATAAAAGAATTAGAATCAGAATAATTAGAACACTCGTCGTTGAAAGAGCCCCATTGCGCTGGGGATGGTTTCAAGAACTTCTTTGAAGGCTTGGACTCATGCACGCGCAGGCTAGGTCGCATTTCGAATTGAGCATCTACTGTAAGGTGATCCAAACCGAAGGCAATATCTCTCCGACTTTGAGCATCTGCGCGAGCCGTTTTCCATGCCGAATTCGCCAGCCAGTAATCGATTTGCGCAAATCTCTCAGCATCACAAGGGGGTCCAAAGTCAGAACTATTGAACTTTTCTTTGTATGTTATCAATTTCTTTGGTGGTTTCGAGAACTGGCTGTTCAGAATTTGAGGTGGTGCATTTTGCGCCAACCTAGAAAAAGTGCTCTATTCTCTTTCGTTTGTTCATTCATGTTATTCAGATATTCCATACCTCTTCCGACATATAAGGTCCACAGACATCAGTGTCAGCTTCTCGAACATAATGGATTCTGGCGTTACAGTCGCCACCAATGAAATATCTTCTGTGACAACATGCAACTTCTTCAGATAGTTGTTCATAAAAAGCTTCCTTATCTTCAGCTTGGTATCCGCTGTGCGGGGCGTAGGCGCTTATCATCGTGACATCAAACCCCTGACATGAAAGAGTGATGGAAATAATACGGCCATTTCTTTGTCGGACGTGTGTGGTAGAGTTTACGAGGGAATCTTTCACTATGATGCCTACCCCTGCATGTTCAAAATCCGTGGCCAGGCGATGGCTGGTCCCTGGGTTGCATTGCCTCCTTCCAGAAAAAGCAGCATTCTCTCGGTTATTATGCTCTCGTCCTTTAACTTTGGGATCAATATTTGTGCTATAGAAGGCAGCGTAACCATCCCAAGTTTCAACACAACTTGAATTTACGTTAGTTTCAGTCATCAGGAGAACCTCGTACACTTCCATTTTTCATAAGGTTAGTTAATGATTCTTTCTTTGTTAGTTGGTTTAGTCCCCGAACATTCAACGTGGCAACTCTGATCTGCTGATTAGCTCTAAGTTTAAAATATTTGGAATGCTTCAGATAGTTCGGTAATCCCTGATCTGTGAAACCTTGTGGGGCCTCAGAGTTGCGAAGAACGTTCGGAATTGTCTCTTGTGGTTAGCGATATTCTGTTGAAACCACGTTTTACATTTCTGATTCTCTGTTTGGTGTTTCTTGTCAGAGCCTCTCTCTTTGTAAGACTGCTTTCACGCAAAATGACCTTGGCTACCTGTCTGGCTCGATCCCGGAGTCGTGTTCTTTTATAATGACGCCATGCTCGTCTACTTTGTGCACGTATGAGAGTTAATCTCTTAGCCCGCCTACGGTTGAAATAGAATCATTTGTTTACTATGCATTTTTTGATCACGGCTCCCGGGTCTGTTCAGTCAGCCCAAAGGGCACTGTCCCGGGGCGCTGCTAGAAGGCCTCACTGTATCGGTCACGTCTTTGTGCCAAAGTGTGAAGGTTGGAATGTTTCTTCTTTTGTCAGAGCAGCGTGCCTTGCTGTATTTGCTGTTCTGGTGGTGGCTGCTGCCACTCACCGGTTGTTGCCTCGTGTTTTGTTGCCTCATTTGTTGCCTACTGTCTTGCCTGGAGAACTGTTGCCTCATGTGTTGCCTTCTCTGTTTTTGTTGTGTCCTCTTTTCCTTTCGCCTGTTACAGTATGTGCCTTGTATTTATCTGTGCTTTTGCTTGATGCAATGCTGTGTTTCTAGGAGTCGCTCCTCTGCAGGCCCAGGCTTCTCATCTTCCAGTCGTGCTGCGGCAAATGTAACTGCGTATGGATACCTGTTGCATGATGGGTAGTGAGGGTGTCCTTTGTGAGCTATTTTCCATGCCTCATGCCAGTAGTTGCTTGGTGTGTCAATGAGGCCTTCTTGGGCAATCAAGGCCAAGACTCCTCTGTCCTTGTCGCACGTGACTTTCGCAATCACTTTTTGGGCCTGCAAGTCGAAAATCTGCTTGTCAGTTGTTCGATGTGATAGGCGGGGTGTTCCTGTATATGGCGAGTTTGGCTGGCTTGTGAGAATTTGCCAGGCTGTGGTGAAAGCCATGTTGATGACCAAGTCGACCTTGCTCAAATAATTTGTGATGATAATTTTGTGTCAATGCAAAAGCGGTGAACGCTGTCTCTTATTTTGTACCACTGGGGCTGCGGAGTATAGGTCTAGGCACTTGGTAACTAGCTTTACAAGTTACTTGGCTGCCACATGCATGGTGCCATGTTTCTCTGCACCCTCCTTAAAGGTAGGCGCCAACGTGCCATTTAATTGAGGTCGCGTATTGGGCTCGGTTACGCTACCTTCGGTCCATTGACCACTTTGAAACACTTACTGCACGGTTTAAATTTCTTCAAATCCGTGCTTTCCTTCAGAGTCACGCACTTGTCTGTGCTGTGCACTCTTTCTCCATATTTGGAGATGTAGTAGACGTCGTGCTCAGCCTTGCGTCGCGGCTTGTAGCACGGCCATAGCAAAAGTTCTTTGTACATACAGCAGATTGCTGCTGCACACACGGTGAAACATACCAGGTTGAAAGTCAAGCTGATTATCAGAAACAACATGACTACGTCCAACCCGGTGTCACCCGGCATTACCCTATCTGTCAAGGGTGTTGCCCTCAGAAGTTCCATTTCGTTTGACTCCTGCGGCGTACTGTCTGATTGTAAGCTTTGAGCCTGTGTGTGGCTTCCATGGTTTGAGGTTTTCCGCTATGGATCCTATTGTTCTCATGTTCACCTTGGAAACATGTTTGTCCAGTCCCGTTTCAGTCAGGTCGACCAGTCCGATTCGTTCCGTTCCAACTTTCACCATTTCGCCTGTTGCGAGGTGTTTTGTGAGAATGTCCGCTGGGTTTTGTGTGCCTTCGATCTTTCCGACTATTACCTGCTTGCTTTTGACGAGGGATTGTATGTAGAGGTGTCCTACTTCGATGTGTCGCATTTTACCTACTCCCATCTTTCTTGCTGCTTGAAGTGCTGCTGACGAGTCGCACCAAATCCTTGGTGTCTCTACTTTCATTCCAAAATCCTGCTCTGTCAGATTTCTAATGAAAATCGTTGTCCTGCCACAGTGTGACAACGCTCTAATCTCTGCTTCACCTGAGCTCGTTGCAGGTTCTCCTGGCTGAGTGTGCGACGATGATTCAACCAACGTCCCTCCTAAGAAGATAGCTTCTCCACTCGTCGAACGTCTGGTCTCCACATCTCCCGCCCAGTCACTGTCACAATAACTGTGCAACGGAAGTCCTTCTTTGATGTAGAGTCCTTCTGCTACCTTTGTCACGTGTCCATAATTCACAGTTCCTTTTAAGTATCTTCCTAAGACTTTCAAGTTGATCATGTCACACTCTCTTGGTTCTCGGATCCTTTTCGCCAGTTCTTTCACACTGAACTTTATGTCAGGTCTGTCTTGTGATAAGTAGATTGCACTACCTACACAACTTGCAAAGATTGCTTTCTGTTTCTCATCTAACAGCTTGTCACGTTCCAGTTGCAGCTTCTTGCCTGGAACAGGTCCTGGCTTGGCATTCTCCAAACCTAGTTGAGTCAATATCGTGTTGATATGCTTTGCATTTGGTTTGGTGATTACAGCTTCTTCCACACTGATCTTCGTCCTACCTAGGAATTCCGACGTTGTCTTGCTTCCTACATGCGGGTATTCCAACTCACCCATTTTGAGCTTGCATCCACACCTAGGTAGCTGGATCATCAGCAAATCCTGAATGACCTCTTCTGGTCCACAGATGTCAAAGTCGTCGATGTGGTGTAACAACAGGACTGTCCCTGTCTTCTTGCACTTGTAGACACATGCGTCGATTTGGCCTCGAGTGAACTCGTACTTGTCCTTTGGTAGTTCCTTCGTCACAATTGTGTCCAGCCTGTCTCTGTACTGCGCTGCTGCTGATTGCCGACCATACAGATTGCCATTGACTTGCCAAACTATTTCTGACTTTGGAACATCCTTCAGTTCTTCTTGTACTTCCTTGCTTTGCAAAAGGAGCCATTCGTCATACTCCTCAAGCCATTCCTCTGGAGGTTTCATCATGACTGGTTGTCCTGTTCGATCTCCTTGATCTGCTGCGATCAGAAAAGCTGATGTCAAATCTGCTTTGCATCGTGGCATTCCTGTGCTCATGGAATACACTTCCAGTATCTTTCTTGACGCTGCGAACGGTGTTGGACAGAAGTTACTCGGAGCTTCTGAACTGTTCTTGTCTTCCTTTTGTCCTCGGCGTTTGAAATCCTGACATGTCAATCTGGATTTTGCTACTCCTTCGCTCACCTTGTCCACCCATTTGTGTCCGAACACAATGATTTCTTTTGGTAGAGCTCTTCGGTCTCTGGGTGTAAAGGCTTCAAAGGATTCATTCAACTTCTTCAGTTCTGCCTTCCTAGCAAGTTTCCGTTCTTCACCTTCTGGTCCCAAGGTGTCTAGGTAATCCATGATGTTTGCAACAGTCTCTGTCTCGAAGTTGTCTTTTCTCTCTTCCAGCCACTTCTTGAAGTACCGGTAGTCCTCGTTGCTGAAGACCTTGTGCCTTTCCTTGAGCTTGTCGGGCTCGAGTACTATTCCTTCACCAATGCTAGATACCACATCTTGGGCTGCATCGCTCATCGCTGCTTCCGGAGGTGTGTCGATTCTGAACACTTGAGGTGCTCGATGCAACATTGCGGTATCCCCCGCTGGGTTAGCAGAGGTGCTTTCCTCACTCACGCGCTGTTTCTTCGCTTCCTTCTCCTCGATGCTAATGCTTTCTCCTTCAGCATCAACCTTCATTGCCTTTGGTGCTTCTCCTGGTTCTGTCTTTTGCGCTTTCTGAGGGCTCTGATTTCTTGGCGTTCCTGGTGCTGACCTAGTTCCAGTTCTACATCTCGGCGTTCCTGGCGCTGAGCCACTCTTCACCTTTGGTGTGTTTGGTGATGGCGCCACTGCCGGTGTAACTGGTGCTGGCACAACACTGCTCTTGCCAACAACTGCTGGCAAACTTCCTTGCTCTTTCTCTTCTCCCTCTTCAAACTCATAGGTTTCTTGTGCTCCCAGTTCAGGAACCATCTTGAGCTTGAGTTCTGATCTCACCGGATCTGGCTTTGCTCTGTCTGATCCCAAAACGGTGTTCCATGGTGCTCCTCTAGCTGCATCCATGACGGCGTTCTGGAATTGTGATCCCTTTGGCAGTCTTCTCACGGTCCTGAATGTCAAAGCTCCAGAACTTGTGAGTACCAAGTGTTCGTCTGAACTTTCTGTCTTTCCTGCATAGATTCCTTTCACCCATCTAGGCGCTGCTTTGTCTTTGACCTTTGGATACTTTCCCATGACTGTTTCTCCGAGCGGCATCAGTTCACTGATATACTCTCTTCCTTTGATCACCTGGAAAGCTGTGGTCTTCGTCTTGTTGATGTGAAATCTTGCCAAAGTCCAGGCACTGTGTCTCACCACCCATGGAAACATGTAGTGGTCCGTGCCGATCTTCTCCTGGTAGTTCTCAGACAACTCACAGAGCCATGTTCTAATCGTTCCAGAAATCAAACCATTCACCATTTCTCAATCGGCCAGAGATTGCGAACTGTACCTTGGTGATTTTCTGATGTCAACTCTTTCTGGCATCAGATCCCTCACTCTTTCAAACAGTTTGTTCATTGCGTTCTCCTTGTCCGTCTGGATGACCACCTTCTCCCATCCAAGTTCACGAATCCAATTTGCCAAAGCATCTCTTGCGTAGTACCCTCCTCCTTTGGCAGGCACCACCATGGCAAATGGATACTGACTGTCCTTGCAGATGGCAGTCAAAACGGTAATCAGGCCTTTCTGTTTCATTCCTTCCTCTTTGCCCACTTCGTTTCCACTTGTGCTGAAGAACATGTAGTCTGAGTAGATGATGTGCTGCTTCTTGTCCTCTTTCTGCTTTCTGTGAGGTGCGTCACGCCCTTGTCCTTGTACACACACTTCACACCATGGTTCAAAATTTGCATGGTGCAACATGTGCTTCTCTCGTGCTTCTTGACTAGGCGCCACTGGCACGTCAGGTTCTTTCACGTGCTCATCTCCTCCTTTCTCTTGCAACTGTCTTTGTTCTCTGATCTCTTCAGCTTCTTTCTCCTTGCGGTCCATTCCATCCTCTGGATCGTCCATGATCCAGTCCATGAAGAAATCGTCCATGTCCTGCTCGGGATTGACCAATCCTTCCACTTTCTCTGCCTCCACTTTGTCACCTTCTCCTTCATCCTCTTCTATCTTGAACTAGCTTTCTCCAAGCCATTCTTTATTCATATTCTTTGTTGCTGTTTTGCGTTGCTTCCAGGAACTTTCATTTGTCTCATGCGATCCATCTTCTGTGAAGTACATCTTTGTGAGTCTGCCCGGCTTGAGCTTTGCAATATCCACTGGCAGATCATCAACCCTTTCAGGATTGAACAGTTGAAAACGAGGGGTGTTGTGCACTCGGATCACGAAGTCACCATCTTCATTGGACTCCATTTTCCAAGTGTCTGGCTCTCGTTCTTCTTCAACTCTGACGCCTCTCATAGCTGCTACTCTTCTGGTTGCACCAGACGAGCTTGTACTGCTCGCATCTTCCTGCTTGTTCTGGTTCACTTTCAGGTACCAACGTTTGCCATGCAATTCCAATGGGACCTTCTCGTTTGTGCTGGTTATCATGTAGCAATTTCCTTGTTCAAAGTGAACCTTGTGACCTTTGTCAACCAAGTTATACACTGACAGTAAACTCTCTGCTGAGTCCGTGACGGTCATTGACATGCAACCTTTCAGATTGCCAACTTCCACTCGTGGAAACTGCTTCCCATACACAGTCAAAGGGTTTCCCTGTACTCCAAACAGTGGTTTACCCAAAGAAGTATTGATGGGGTCCTGAAACTCACCATGCTTTGCAACGTTTTCACATGCTCCCGAGTCAACCAACAAATAAGTAAACTCATCGTCAGCTGACACTGCACTCACCTGCGCTTCTCTGACAGTGAAAACCACTTGGTCATGATTCACTGGCTGCTGGGAAACAGAACTAACCGTGTTGGAACCACTTGCACTCGAGTTGGGCTTGTCGTTGTTGTTTGCGTTGTTACCGGTGTTGCCCGTCGACGATGCGGTCTCATCCACGGATGCTACTTTCCACCAACAGTTCTTTGCAACATGACCATATTTCTGGCAATTGTGGCATTGTTTTCCGGCATCAGGGTTACTCACCTGACTATTCTTGCCTCCCTGCTTGCCACTGTCTCCTTTTCCTTTACTCTTTCCTTTAGAGTCCTGGCCTTTGCCTTTCCCTTTTTCATCCTTTCCTTTACCTTCACCTCCTTTCTTTCCTCCTTTGTCCTGACCGGTGTACCCTTTTTGTTTTCCTTTGTCTTTTCCTTTTCCTTTTCCTTTCTCTTGACCCTTGCCAGCAATGGCGGCAAGCACTGCGCCAATGTCCATGGGCATCGGTCCTCCATCATCCGTCTTGTTAGCAACCTTAGTGAGTCCAAACTGTGATCCCTGAGGTCGCTTCCACACATTCTTGTTGATCAGGTACTGCTCTATGTAGTCCCGAATCTTGGCATACGTGTCCAGAGCGTCGCTGTGCATGAAGATGCTCTGCTGAAGCTCTGCTGGGGCCACATGCGCAAGAATCGAAATCTTTTCTTCCTCAGAAAATGCACTTTTGGTAGTTCTTTCAAATTCTCTGAGCTCTGATTCCCATTGGTGGAGTGCTGAACTCCAACTGTTGATGTCCTTAGGAAAATTCGGATTGCTGAGATGCCGTCTCCACACCCATGCCTTAGTTCTGTAGGCTGGCTCAGTCAACTTCACAAGTCGACGCCACACCTCAAAACCGTTTGCCGTGTGAAGTCCTTGGCCAACAACATTCATAGTAGGTTCAGGACAGTACTGAATCAGAAAAGTGTACATAGCCTTAGCTAACAGATCTTCTTCAGGTGTCATCATCTGGTCATCTATGGGATCCTTTTCATCCCCAAACTTCTGCAACAGTTCAGGAAACTTGGGGTGAACCGTAGATGACCATGCCGTGAACACATGTTTAAACTTTTCCCAACCTTCTCTCTTACCATCATACACATGCGGTTTGGGGATGTTACTGGGGTGTATCAACCTGGTGAACTCAGTGCTGCTTTGCGCCTGAGCTTGAACCTGGGACTGAGCTTGCTGCTGTGCTGTTGCTAGGGTTTCTGTCCTAGTTGTCAGTTCGGTCCTGGTCCTGTTCAGTTCGTCCGTTGTCTGTTGAAGCCTAGTTTCAGTTTCATTCAACCTGGCAGCTTGACTTTCATAGCCTGCGTTGGCTCTACGCAGACCTTCCAGCAGTCTGTTTTGCTGCTCCTGTAGCTGCGCAATCTGCGCCTGCAGCTGTTCATTAGTGGCCATCGCCACCCGAGAAAACTATTGTACAAAGGTGCGTCTTGCACCAGCGAGGGGTACGCTAGAAACTACGAAGTCTCTAGCGGTGTTACCCGCCTCACCAGCGGCCTCCGCGCCACCCTCGGTGATACCCGCTGTTGCCAGGATACCACCCTTCAGCCCAAGCCCCGCTGTCGCTCGTCCAGTTGCTTCGCGAACCAGAGCTTTGCGACCAACTTGCACTGCTTGAACTTTGGCGACTGCTCCAATTGCTCCTGGAGCTTCGCGCCTGTTCCTCTTCTTTCTCTTTCACTTCCTCCTTGGCCTTCTCGCTTCGGAGGTCGAGGTCTCGAACAGCTCGTGCGACTTCTGACGCCGCTACTGAACTGCTTTCTGCTGTCTCCCACTCGGTCTCGGAGTCCTCGTCCGGCAGGATCGTCTGGAACTCCTCGGGGAAGTGGGTCTCGTTGTCGTCGAAGACTGTCGCGGCCTCCTCTTCGTCGACCGTCTCGTCTCCGTCACCTAAGAGGGTTCTTTCCTCTTCTTCTTCTTCCGCTTCTTCACCAGCTTCTGTTCGAACTCCTGGTTGTGCACGTCGAGCTCGTTGGTCTGCCTCCCCAACGATTCCTTGTGCCACTCGGCGGCCTCCTTCTTCCAGAGCGTAGGACCTTCTTGCCGTACGCCCGGGTGTAGAGCTCACCACCTGAGAGAGTTGCGGAAACTCTCTTTGGAATCTTCCCCACACTCGCTGGGAAGCTCCGTGAGTCCGTGAGTACTTCCCCACGTAGGAAGTCCTCCTTGCACTGTGTTCCTTTCGTCCAGGAACTCTGGAACTGCACTCTCAGGCACTGATTGCAAACGCAGCGCCTCCACGTAGTCCAGCTCCTCTCTGCGTGGTCTTTTGCACTGGCCCGCTTCTTCTCCTTCTTCACTTCTCAGCCAGGCCTCTGCACGCCTAGCCGCTCCTCGAAGTATTCGCCGCTCCACTGCCGCGGCTGACCTTTGTCGAGTTTCACCTTTTCCTCGGTGTTGTCCTTTCTGTTCCTTGCCACCTTTTCCCGTGGTGACAAGTGTAGCAGCGACCCACGGAGGTCGCAGTGGCCCAAGCTCAGCTGGCTTGGCCTTTTGTTCTTGCAGAACTTCTCGAGGTCGAAGCGCCGCTCCACACGCAGCTGCTCGTCCACGAGCTTTCGCAAGTGCTGCTACTCACGCAGCTACTTGCGGTGTTTCCCGCCTTTCTATTGGCGGTGTGTTCCACCTGCTGGTCCTGGACGGCCAGGAACCAGCTCCGCTACCATGCAAAAGCGGTGAACGCTGTCTCTTATTTTGTACCACTGGGGCTGCGGAGTATAGGTCTAGGCACTTGGTAACTAGCTTTACAAGTTACTTGGCTGCCACATGCATGGTGCCATGTTTCTCTGCAGTCAACCTCCTTTTCAATGTTGGAGCGCTCTCCTTCGCTATCCCAGTAGTGCAGTGGGTCACTGGTGAAAGTGTCGATCGCCGTGATGCTGTGTAATAGCCATGCTCTTGCTTTGTTTGCTGTTCTACTTGTGCTCTGTGTAGTAGCCAGTCTGTTACACGTACTCTGTCCCAATATGTTGCTTCTCTGGGCCAACATTTGATGACCATTTTGAGGCTGCTTTCTTTGCATTCTTGTTCGTCTTGTTCCATGACGAGCTCGTGTGTGTAATCAGTTATTCCTCGAAGGTCATCGAAGGTCGTCAATTTCATCGTCGTGTCTGTGGGCAATGTCTGTAAGTTTTTGCACCTGCTGTTGCATTGCTTCTTGTTGGCTGCTGATCTGGTCTGTGGAGCTGGCCCCAGCAGCTTTGAGTCGTTCTAGCTGTTGCTTCATCTGGATGCTGAGGGCCTGCATTTGTTGAAGGAGCTCCGGTGCTTCCTTTTCAACATCTCTCTTGGATCTTCTCTCTGTCTTAGAGTCTGCTGCCGCAGTTTTCTTCAGTGCTCTATGTGGTGTGGCTGCAATTTGACAAAGGGCAGAAGATGTTGCAAGCCCTTTCTTACTCCAAATTCTTTTGGTCGATATCTGCTTTTGCGCTGCTTCTGCTTTTCCATCTTCCTTTTCTACCATCTCTGCATTTTCTGCCATGAAGCTGATGTTTCTTCTTTCTTGTGTCAAGTGTATTTGTTCCCTCTCTGTCTTCTTCCCCTCCTCGGTTTCTGGCTTATTCTTCTCTTTCTTCTTCTCAAACAAATCCTTCCTCACTCTGGAGTCAGCCATGTCTAAGGAGCGTATGCCTGCATGGCTATGTTGCGCTCTAGTTTCGAGCCCAAACCCCTATATTTGCCCCTTCCAACAGCCAGATAACATCAACAAACTGCTCTGGGACTACTAAGTTGAAATCATTGAAATGCATTGAAGTGCAGCATTTCAAAGCGAAGATCTGATAGAGATGATAGAACCCCAACGATTGACTTGATTATACTTGATTCTAATGCCCACAATAGAATCGCCTGCAAACAGAGATGAAGTGCCTCACGGCAGCATTATAATGACATTGCCTGAGGCGGATCTACTCACTTTCGGTGCCTTTAGGCACTGAAATCAACTGCATAGGATGGACACTACTGAGAACTCCTCAAAAATTGACACCTCCGCCCTCAGCCCACTTTAATTCTTATCCAGCATCCACTTCCTTAACTTCGAAGGTAGACAGCCTTTGCATGCTATCCTTCCAACAAAATCCACCAGCTTCAAACATGATGCTATGTAGTGTCCTCGGCCTCTGTGGACGGCTGTGGCACCCTTGGTGGGTTGGCGCATAGTTCAAAAAATCAGCAAGATCACATCAACAACGATTCAATACAAAGTCAGTGCCAAAGCGCCAACGCAGATCCCAATAATATGAGCGGCGGACAAAACTACAGTACTTGCTACTCGCAATGAACATGGCCAAAGCGGGTGGTCCCCTATCGGTTGTGAAGGCCTGTACTTCCATGCTATGTGTAAAAATAGGGTATCGGTAAGTGGGTGGTCCACTATTGTTTGTGAAGGTCCTCACACAAATTTGAACATCCCAACTCCACTCCCTACTACTTTAGTCTTAAGGCAAATCTTGTCGTTTACTTTGCCATGAAGTGTGTTCAAAAAAACTTGCATTGGCGGCACTATAGTGGCTCGTAACGGAGGTTGAAGCAGCTGAAATGGATTGTAAAGAAAAATAAAGGCCCAAGAATGTGTGATGCGCATACATGCACACTCAAAACATGATAATTTTTCCAAGCGTCTGAGTTTGTTGTGCCTGTTGTTGTTGCTGCTGTTGCTGCTGCACAGCTTGCGGCGCTGCAGGGGGTTGTTGCTGCGCCTGCTGTTGTTGCTGTTGTTGTGGTGGCTTCTGCTGCTGCATGGGCTGCTGCTGATCACGCTTGATCCTCAGTGAGTGCAGGAATGTCTGGCACGTTGATTCATTCTTCTGTTCTCATCTTTTCCCTCCCAATGCTGTGTTCAAGAGCTGGCACACTCCCCTGAGATATCATGCCTACTCTGGCTAAATCTGATGTCTTGGGAACCGGGGATCTGCTGCTCTTGCTGCAGCTTCTGCGGTGCCTCGAAAATCAGCTCACCCAAGAGATTTGCTTCAAGAGAACCTGCCACTCAGAATGGAATTGGCATGCTGCAAAAGAGCCACATCATGATGCAGCTTGCCGCAACTGTTCAAGGCCTGGTAAATGACCAACCAACACTAAACTTACTCACGAAACACATCTATCAACGCATCACAACTGCGATTAGGACGCTTTGTGACATCTTTGGACCCTCTTCAGCCTCGTGGTCTTCGAACATTCAAGTTCCATACGATACTGCGGCTGTGGTCCTTGCCACCACAAAGAGAGGCGTTCGACAGGCAGTAGCAAGCACTGCAGCATCCGTTCAACACCATCTGCCTTCAGTTCATACCTGCAAGTATTGTAAGCTCATCCATGCTTATTCACTTGTTCAGCTCAGCAACAGCCAATGAGAAGCTACCACTTGTACATTTGAGGTCGTGAGACCGAATGACACCGCGATGATCGAAGGGGAGCCTGCTGCAGTCGACTGCGGACAAATTCGCACTAGGATCTCACTGGGTTTCAACAGGATTGAAATGGATTGAACAGATTCGTATAGATTCCATTAGTCACAAATCCTCAGATGTCCTAAGCCCCTTCTCGGTTGTTCAGTTTGTCCTCTCGATGCTCACCTATGCTGGGCTGACTGATCTTCCTGCCTCACTTGGCAGTTCCACGAGCCACCGCTGTTGGCAGAGAGAACCAATGGATGAAGCTGCACCTGCCGCATTCGCATGGGCATGACCACTAGTTGTGGCTTTGCTGAAGTTTGGAAGTAGCTGAAGTGATCGCATTTTGGTTGTGGATAGTTAGACTATGTTATACTACGGAGTTGTAGCCAAAAAGTGCATGCTGCAGCCAATTTTTGCAAAGCTACTTGCAAAAGGAGCCGGAATTCCACTGGAGAAAGCTCCTTCAGCTGGTAGAAACCTTAAATTGAGGTGCAGAGATCGAGCTACATTCGCCAAGATCCTTGAGCACTGGTTTGCAGTAAGAAGTAATCACTTAAGCGCTATTGAGTGGCCGCGAACAGGTGTCACTGGGCTCTGGCGGAAATTATATCTGCATAGGACGAAGGGCCCTGTAGGGGGAAGACAGGAAATCTTCAGAGAGTCTTCCTGCAGGGCATGATGATCGTCAACTCAATAGCATCCCAAAGAAGAAAGGGTTCACTTGGAGCACCGGATTGTAGACAAATTTAAATGCAAGCCGTGCTCCTTGGCAGATTTAATCCCCCCAATGATGTGGGCACCTGAAGCAGAAGCTCGTTTTCACTGCGGGAGTGCTTGTATTCCTTCCGTCCGAATCTGATACTGTATCCAGCAGAAGAGGGACCCTGCCCATGTCATCCTGCATGAGATTGCCACCGTTAATATACGTTATTACCCTGACCTTCAAACAAGAAAGAACCATTATATTTAGACCCTTGAGTTTCGAACCAAGAAAGAAACGTTATATAGACTTTGAACCCATGATAAACCTTTTTCTGCTACGCAGAATCATGGAAATACCAAAATCAAGCCGAGCAGCAATTGTGCACACTGATTTCCTTAGTTCTCGCATCATCATTTGCGTTTTGGATTTAAATTTTGAAGCCTAGGCATCCTTGTCTTTTAGCCGGCCGCGAACATATGGCTTGTGCAGCAGAACGGCGGAGAGGTTGTACAGTATAACTGCTAGCCAATCGCTGCCAAGTCTCTGGAAACGACGTGCGAGACTCCTCCAAACATGCAAGGACATGCAATGCGACATACAAGCAATGTTATTGCAATGCTGCGTGCTATCTGAAAGTACAGGAAAAAGATGAAAAAGGATGAAAAAGGGTTAATTCGTTTGATTTAAGTTCTATTTTGTTTAATTCGTTTTAGAATTCTTCCGCGATCCGGGCCAAAAACAAACTCAGCTTGGACATTGCACATTGCATCATGGCCTGAGTGTTGTCCTCAGCTCCTGGTTGGAAAGAGATAGGCACACACCTTGGATGTCGAAGGAAAAACAGACTTATATAATAAACAACTTAAGACATTGCGGATAGATGATTCACAACCGAAATTTAATTTAGTTCAATGCAGTTTTCAATTTAATTAAGTACGGCGCTGCTGATTCCGGATAATTCCTGGACATGGTGTTTGGATGTTTTTGGATTTGTTGCTTCAGCGACACAGTATCAAGAAGCCCGGGGGGGCTGGTGACTAAACCCGCGGTTTCTAAACCTGACCTTCGCTTTGGTATATATAGCCGTTATAATTACAGTAATTATATAAATATATAGCCAAACTGCAGCTGAGCGTCACTTCTGGCACTCCAGCAATGTCAGCGCAACAGTACACTGTACCCTGGATGAAGCATTCCTTGAGCTCAAGACCAGTGCATGAGACCATGCAAACTTGAAAAATTGTACTAAACTTGTTGGCATCTTCTGGTCCGCTCATCTATGTTCATCATTGTTCATCCATGCTGGAGGTGTTCTATAGCAGAGATTACCTCCGGAGGGGCACAAACTCACTTGATCTCATCTACAATACGTAAAATGTCTTCGAGGCTCATCTTCATACTCCGACTTGCCGTACAAAGTGCAATTGATCGTCTCCACGACAGACCTTGAAGGAGCTAGCGGCTGGGAACCCATGTATTTCACGCTTGGAAAACCACATGTTTCAGATGTGCTTGCAACATCTGACTAGCCTTGCAAGGTCAAGGCACAAAGTCAATTTGGACTTTCCTTTGTACAGGTATGGCTTCCAAGCGGGGCTTCGTTGACTTGTGTCATCCTCTTTGTTGGGGAAACCATGCCTGGCAACACCACTGGCTGTTTTGGAACCGTTCTCAAATAATTAGCTTGGTCTCAAGAATCTGAAAACCCAACCAAGTCAAGAGCACAATCCAACGCAAAACGGTGCAGTCAGCAATTTTAGTAGCCACTTCAAGCAGGAAGTGTAAAACACACATCACATATCCTCAAAGATTGCAGCCATGGCACCGAACCATGCGCAACAAGTGAAAATTCGTATTCACTGGGCTACCAAAGGGCAAAGCACTTCGAATGTAATACCTGCATCCAATTAAAACGAAGCTACTAACACCGTACTTAAGTCACATCACGCGGGGAAAAGCCACAACATCCCCATGACACAGCGGCGTTACAGAAAAGTCACACCAGGTAGTGACCAGGTAGTGGAAAGTCACATCAAAGAAGAAGAAACATCATGGCACAGACTGTTTCATCTGTAATTTGAGATTTATATAATTAAAAGTGGCCGAAGCATTGTGCACAGCGATGATTTTGAGAAGGCACAAGTTAATACAAACAAAATCTTGGCAGCAAATCCTATTGGCATGGGTATATTGTATTGGTGTCCTGCGTCGCGTGACCAAAACAAGCCCCTATTGGTACAGCCTCAAATTTCTTACAGTGCAAATGGGCTAGCTGTGGCAAATCCTACAGTATTGGCCGGGTTATGATATATAGGGATATGGGGATATAGTGACATGGGGATCTGTATAAAGTGTAAAACATTAAAAATACCAATACAAATATAAATCTAAATATAAATAAATAAACATAAATACATGAATAAACAAACGCATATATATATATATATATATATCGGGCCCCTTGTTTCCCGCAACCAAATCTATGGCCGCAATGTGCATCAAGGTCGTGGACAGCTCTCAAGAAGTTTGTTGTCCGATCCACCCGGCGATTTCGAGTTGGAGTAAAACCTTTCACTCCACTGCGAGCGGAAAGCATGGCTGGTTTTGTCTGTGCAAGCAAGCAAGCAAGCGCGCAGGCAGGCACGTAGGCAGGCAAGCAAGCAAGCAGCAAGCAACAGCAAGCAGCAGGCAAGCAGCAAGCAAGAAGCAGGCAAGCAGCAGGCAAGCAGCAGTAGCAGCAGCACCGCCATGCAAGCAGCGGCAGAGGCAAGCAGCAGCAACCAGCCGATGCCCCCTTCAAAGAATGATCAAAACGTGATCAAATATATTCAAATATAAGTTCTAAAGATCAGCGCAATACAAGAATTGAATTTTTTCCAGGCGCACGGCTCCAACATGATTAAATGTTTCACTTATTGAAAGTTGTGGTGATGCCAAAATTGAACTTTTTCCAGACGCACGGCCTCCCGATACGACTTTTGACGAGCTGATACGACTTAACCCTAGCGCTTGTAGCAGCTTCAACTGTCACCAATTGAATGACTTCGATGAACTAAGTCATTGGATCAAGTTTGAAATTTCAAGATAAGGCAAGCAAGCTGCTGCAACTCAGATATGCCAGCAACATCGGAAATGGACAAATTTGCAGGGATGAAGTCGCAAATGTCCTGAATGGCACAGGGTTGGAGTAGCCTTTCCAAGCGATTCCAATCCAGTCCAACATGCTCCAGCAAACATAGCTCTTTTATGCTCTTTCTATGTAAAGCGATCCGAAACACTCCCAACACATGAAGCTCAAACAATGGACTAAACCGGTTAGAAGCTGCAAAAGGTCGGATGTATTCAGCTCCAGCTATGCTGAAACATGCTGAGATAGTATGAGTTGCGGAAACGGTCTGGTGCCTCCAAAACAGCAAAGGCAGCAGTAACTTGAGGCAAATCCAGTGCACGTAGACGGTCGCCTCCTGATGTCAGATGCCGCATTGTTCAGCTGGACATTTCAAGGAAGCAGCCTGCGCTTGGAGTTTCCTGGAAGATCCTGGAAGATACACATCCTGGACCGCCCACCCAGACCCATTCAGCAAAACTCTAGCTTGGCCTGCGCTATCATTTCCACTCTCCTGGGCTTTGAACTGCCATGATGTATGTTGTTCATCAGGTGCCATGGTCAATCCAAACACATACATACATACGCACCATCTGGTCTGATCACGTGGAGACGGTGTGATTTGGCTGTCTGAATGGCGGCACTGAAAAACACGAACAGTCAGAACAATGCAACAAGCTGTTCCGCAAATCCCTACTGCTACTTGCTGTTGCCGAGCTGCAGCTCGTGCTTGACACTTTCCATCCATAAGTGCCACAGCTGCAACGAGATAATAGCCTCTCGTGGTTTTGGTCATGATCTGGGTGCAGTTCATTTAGAAATGTTTAGGAAAAATGACGTCTTCAGGAGTCCTCCAAAATCATTCTCGCACAGAGCTAGAGAATTCAGTCCGATGACAGGAGGATAAGCACAAGACATTCACTTTCTCACAATTATTCTCTCACTCGCCTTTCTTGTGCAAGAACACCACAGGCCAAATCTTCCCCTTCCTTGATTGAATGCTTTTAGATGCGAAAACTGGCAATTTGAACCTATGATGAATCTCAATCTGGAAATTTTCTGAATCTGAATCATTACCAAATCAAATCTTACCACTACCAGGTTGGAGGCAGGATGCATGAGCGCAGTCATTGGTCCCATTGGCCAAAGCTTCTCCATACGAGATTCCTCCCAACTCAGAAATATAATCCACAAGCTGTACTGGAGAGCTGTGATTGGCAGCCCATGGCAGCGTCCAAATCATTTGCCAACAAGGAGTAATTATACGACATGCCATGTCATCACTCAAATACAGCTGAACATCTCATCGAAAAGGATTATGAGATATTAAAAAATTAAAAGTATGAAAAGGATTGGAATTCCGTGCGCCTATGCCTCTGCGAAAAACAGCGCATGCCGACATGCAACCAATGGCTCCTCGGCAGGATCCCAGCTAAAGGAGCCCTGTCGAAAGTCCTGGGAGAACCGAGAGAACTGATGTCACCGGTCAAAAAGGATATTTCTCAGCAGCGGCAGGGACTTCGCAACAAGATCCGGTAACAAAGAACAAAAAAGGTGGCCCCTGTGGCCCTCTTCCCTCCTGCAAACTACGCCGCTACCATGTTGCACACGAATTGGATTGCATGCTAGGATATACCCTTACAGCAGTCGGCACAATCATCCAATGTAGAAGCCTCTAACTGGGTGAAATGGCGACACGGGCGTCCTCGTGAAAAGGTTCCGGCAAATCTGGTGGAAGGCTATGATCCTCTTGCTCTTCCAGCACCTCAAGAATTCACTTGTGAAATCTTGCGAGTCCCTTCAACATACTTCAGCCCAGTAATCCTGACCGATGTCAATGCTAAGATCCCTTTTCCCAGCCTACTACATCTACCGCCTGCTCTCTTACGATCAAGTTTGAACTTGATCTCTTCATACCCCAAAGTTGCTATCATCCCTTCACAACACAACATGGCAGGAAACCGGCCTCTGAGACAAAAAGGTGGCTGATGTCTTCATCGCATGGAAGTGCAACATGATTGTCACCTGTAGGACATGACTGCATGCCTCTGAGACTTTAAGAGGGTTGATCAAGGGCATCACGCATGTATCATGGAGTGTGCGTCGATTCCACTCGCAAAAGCCGAAAACAAGACACTACACAAAATGAAAGAAGCTGAGTGCAAAATTAGTTCCAGTCTTCCAACGGCCAACCTTGGAGTCGTTGTAGTTTTCGCTCAACCGTGGGAAACCGGCGGCTGGTCAGGAGCCGTACCTGGTGGTGCCCCTGCGATGGAACGCACTTTTGGCCTCTGTGCCATGCAAACAAAAATAAAGAGGAATAAAAATAAGCAAAGAAAATTGAGAAAAACTATATAGATGGATGTAGGCGGCTTTTAATCAAACTATAAAATCCACCGGCTGCCTTACAATGCCCAATAAACACCGTGTATGACTCTATGACCGTTCCCACCATAATCCTTCGAGCCTCTGATTGCTGCTGATCCGTGTGAAGTTAAGCTAAGTTGACCACTTTCAACGACGCTTGTGACAGGTTTGGACCCTCCTCCCCGGCCTCAGACTCGAGGTGAAACACCCACAGCGCGCGGAGTTGGCAGGCCATCCCCAGCCATTGCAATTTGGAGTCGCAAAGGCAACAACCAGCAACAAACTGCAGCAACTCTGCCCTACAGTCTGAGAGTCTGTGATCTTTTCCAGCATGCTATGTGCCATGTCTCCTCTCGTGGCAATTGCCACTTGCATGCACTTGCATGAAAGAATCTTCGCATCAGTCGGACCCCATTCATGTGGACCAATGGTGGGCAGCATGCAAACTCTATGAAATTGTTGGATGCTGACAAGGCAAGTAGCATGTTTTTCAAGGACACCTCACAAAGAATGGAATTGATCTGGACCTTGGTGACTGTACTGCCACGAGTTGAATATAAATATAAATTGAATGACTTGAAGTCGCTTGAAGTTGGGCAATCGCTTGCACTTGATCCATATTCTCTAAATTTCTCTAATCTCATCATATCTCGTCAATGTCCTTCATGAGCCAGGAAACTGAATCCAAGGCAAAGAAACAGCTGATCTTTGCAGATAATCGCAAATATTCAGGAAAGCAATGAAATAGACCGATCTTGTTGCATGCCGGGGGTGTCTTGAGTGAACCTTACTATACCTTACGTCTGCTTACCTCTGCCTACCCCATTTCCGGGTGACCTCCGATTGCAAAGCCGAGGCCGAGGGGCAAGTGATCTTCCAGCTCGATGTGTGCCAAGGCAGAGTCCAGAGACTGCGGCAACACCACTGGTGGTATTCTAGCAGCATGAAGTCATCCGACATTAAAGGAATATACAAAAACTATAGAACTTGCAGTGCCTTGACTGAACTACCGTGGCAGCTGCCCGCTGAATTGCAAAGATATATAGTACCTGCAGATGACATGGGAGTAGCAAAGAAACGGAAACTCCCATGTCATCTGCAAAGTGAAAACAAGTTGGGCCAGAGTCAGAGAAGCCAAAATAACCCAAACGCAAGACGGCGCACAGCACGCCTTAAAAAAAAAAAACATGTGGGTGAAGAAGTTTCCGGTGAAGGTCTGGGAGGTTTTTTTTTCAGAGCCAGGTCAGGTTCAATACGGTTTCGGAGAAGGTTCCGGAGAAGGTGTGGGAGCCTCTGTGTGTGCAAGCTTCTGTGTGTCAAGACTTCTTTGTGTAAAGATTTCTCTGTGTAAAAACTACTCTGTGTAAAAGCTCCTGTGTGTAAAACCTTTCCTGTGTAAAAGTTTCTCTGTGTAAAAGGCTCTGTGTGTAAAGTCCTCCCTGTGTCCAAGCTTCTCTGTGTAAAGATCCTCCAGTAAAGCTCCTCTGTGTAAACCTGAAAATGCGGAGCCCCCTCCCAGCAGAGCTCTTCCCAAGCTATTTTCCCACCTGTCCCATATCCTATACTTGGCTGCAAACCAAGCATCGACGGACAAAACGCTGTGCGAAATGAAAACCACTCCGGCAAAGAATTTCTTCCTGTGCATGTCCGGCATGTCCCTTTGCCCAGCGTTTAGACACCGTTTGAAGCCTTTGGCACCAGTTTTTCGGGACAATCGCGTTGATGGAATTTGTCCTGGAAAATCCGTGCCAACAGCTGTGCATTTTTAATCATGTTTAATCTAGCGTTCTACTACGTACGAGGGGTAGCTCCCAGAATTTAGCTAGCTAAATTTCTATGAGGGTGAGGTTCATGGGCTTTATTCCCAAGCTAAATCCAGTGTTACTAGCCCCAGAGGGGCTAGTGCCCGAAAACTTAGCCAAACACAATTTTACGCCAACATTGCCACAACTTGCCGAGCTAAATTTCTTGGAGCTCAGGTTCAGCTCCAATGTGAAGATTTGAAGATGTGAAAATGTTTGACAGACCCCCACTATTAGAAGAACCCTTCGCTCAGACGCTCTCGGGAAAAAAAAACCTGCCAGTTAGGTCGGCGCATAACTCCCATGTCATGTGTAATTCCAAAGCCGCAGCAAACTTGATACATAAATCCAATGTCCTGTGCCAAAAAACTCGGCTAAATCGGCCGCCAAGTCCGGCGTCATCTGCGCCTACTAAAAATGATCCTAAATGGATGACTACATGGACGATTGCGTGGACGACTAAACGATCATTCTTCAACCTGCCTGGCCTCAGACTCTTCCGTCACCGTGTCTTCCCAATCTGACTGCGAGTTCTCATTGGCAGAGTTCTCCGGGTCACTTTCCGCCATGGCTGGATGCTGCAGTCGCACCACTCAGCACTCTGCAGAACTCGCCACAGCTCTAAATTTCTACACTGCAGACTGGGCTTCAAACTGATCGGAAACATTCATAAACAAATTATCTAGAGTTGTTCTTAAGCGACTGCTTTGTGTTGATCCAGTCCTCCTTGAGACAAAGGTTTCCAAATCGAGCTCCGATTCTGATGAATGTTGAAGAGTTTGCAACCATGATGATTTCCAAAGCCTCTGGCCTTCTGGCCTTCTGGCTTTCGCCTCCTTCACGGATCTTCACTGTGGGCTGAATAGCAACCTCTATCATCAGCATTGACCAGCCATAGTGATAGCACTGCTGCCATGCTGCCACAATGTTTTCGAGCTTTTCGCCCTACCACTTCTAATTTACACGGCATTTGTTGAATTCCAGCCAGCCCTGTGTCTGACTGTGTGGAGACTTGAGCTCACGATAGGAGGAATCCCATTTGGTTTAATTACCTTGTCAACTTTTTGTTTTTTTTCGTGCCCACCGCAACGAGGACTCTTATAAGATGGTGGAACCAAAGGCTACAGCCTGCTCAATCCTGGATTTAGCCATCATCAGCGATGTCCTGGGACAGGCCTGGCAGTTCCGACACACTGCCATGTCTTCAAGTGTGAGCCCTGTGCCGCCTTACTTAGCCAACCCGGCAATGTGCGGACACTTCATTGACACATCGGGCAAACCCCGGACCCTGCTCAATGGAGACAATGTACCCAAAATGATAGCCGAACACCTTGTCGTGCTCGCTGGCTTCGGCGCCATGCCCGAGTTTCAGCGATGACCTGACAGACAGGAGTGGAAAGAGTTGCAGCCATGCCTCTTGACCAGTTCGCCACAAATATTATCCACGCTCCCAGACCTAGTACAGTAGAAGGAAATTTTGGGGTGATAGGTTGGACCGGTTGGCGAGAGGATAGGCATGGCTGGTCTGACTCGAAGACAGACTTGCGTTGATGAAAATAAAGGAATACAGGGATGCACGCCTCACCGTAGTGTTGCGCAGCAGTTTGAAAGTAAGGAATATCCTATTCAAAGGCTCAAGTGCAAAAGATGATAAAGATGAAGCGAATCCAAACCTCAAATCAGTGGCACACATTCTGGGTAGAAGCCTTGGTAGGAACCACCTTTGGCTTTCCTGGGCTTTTATGTATAAAATACAAATACATATCTTAAGAAACTCAAAACAACAACATCAACGACGACGACGACGACGAGGACGACGACGATGACGACGACGCCGACGACGCGACAACGACAACGACAACACCAACACCAACACCACCAACACCACCAACACCACCAACAACACCAACACCACCAACACCACCAACACCACCAACACCACCAACACCACCAACAACACCAACACCACCAACACC